AGAACTAATGGAGTAAGTGGCTGGAAAATCTGCTTGTCTTCAAACTTTTTTTTTATTAAGTAGAAACGGCACTCTGTCGGATCGCTATACCTAATTAAATCCGCCTTCTGCTGCAACCCGAACCCCTTCTAACACGTGCGCACGCAACACTGTGACCGAAATGACATTCAGAATGAGAAATTAACGTGACCAGCGACGGCGGCAACTCCCCCCCCCCCCCCCCCCCCCGCTAAAGAAGGAACTAGCAAAGAGAAACCGAGCTTCAACTAACCGTAACCATGAATCTAACCCAGCTCTTGCCGCGCGAGGGCTCACGCACAGCGCTGTCTAAACACCTCCACGCCGAGGGCGGGCTCCAATTACGAGCAATACGTGTTTCCAATTAAGGCGCTCGGTTCTTTAAAGGGGGGCATGAATCATGGCTACATAGTCAAGACGTCAAACCTCACCCACGGACCTCCACCACCAATAACTTGCCACGGACAGTGTGGGAAAAAGGGGTTCGGGTTTTTTTTTGCTGGCGGGCGAGCGTGTTACATCTAAACGCTAACTCAATTTGGCAACGCAAATTATTCCTTGAACACGTCCTCCAACGCGTCCAAGGTTTCCTATGCGCAGCATACCCCACCCCCCCCGCCCCCCTCCGGCAGGAAACGAGAAGGGCTTTCTCAGGAGCTGCACGGCGATGGGCTTGTGGGGCTGGATGGCGAATATTTTTTGTTCTTGTTGCAATCGACAAGAGAGGAGGAGGAGGAGGGAGTAGAGGAGGAGAAAAATGAAAATAAAAATAAAGATTTTTCCCGTCTAATGTCGTAGGCGCAGGGGGGTTTCACAGATGGAAGCCGTTTAAGTTTTTTTTTAATTTTGTTTCAGAGGCTCCCAAACCCCCATGCCTTGCTCGCAAAATGCTAAATAAAAATAATAAAATCCACTGAACATAAACGACAGGACACAGCTGTCTTCACACTTTCACCCTCGGCAATCGTGAACTCTAAGAAAAGGGGGCCTGCTGCACTTAGTGACTGATGTCTGCCGGAAATTAATGCCCCCTGTAACCGTGAGTCAGTCATTTTTATTTTGTTCCCCCTTCTTCCAAAGAGCTTGGGAACACTAGGGAAACATTAGCAATGGTCTGCATTCGCAGCAATGCGTGTGTTTCCACCGCTGCCTGAGAAGAGTGCATGACAGCAAGCTGCAAAACCACATGGTTGCTAGGGCTTGTTTGTTTATATATAGAGTGAAGTGAAGCCAAAGTGTCCGTCTGTTCAATTGAGAGTTGAGATGTTGAGGCCTGTATGTTTGGAGCTTGCATGTCCTCCCCGTGGTCACGTAGATTTTTCTCCATGTCCTCCGGTTTTTCCCTCCACATTTAGAAACGCGCGTTTAGAGTACTTGGCCGCTATACATGTCCGCATCATAAGCCACTTCTCGTTGGGCTATCATTTGTGGCCAGGTCGCTTCTGAAAAAGGGCTGTGTAACTCAGTGGTGCCTTACACGGTAGATGAAAGGGAAATCAGAGATGTGCACTGTTCGTCCTGCGTCATATCGCCCTGTCGTTTGAATGTTTACATCGAGATACGTCCAAATTAAAATCCCTTTTATCTTTCATGGTTAAATCGCTTTAGTTGATTACCTCTCTTAGGTAGCCCTGGTGCTAGGGATGGAAATTCCACACTTCCAGGTGCTAGGGATGGAAATTCCACACTTCCAATGTTGGGGGCCAGTCTATAAATTGTAGAGATCGTCGTAGACTTCCCACTTAGTGGTACTCATTTTAGTTGCCCAATAGGGATGATGAGCCGAGACGAACCTGACCAGGATTTAAAAGGCACAGTCCACCACCCGGCTATATTAGAGAGCGTGCTGACAAAACGTCCAAAATCAGCGAATGAAGTGTGGCGTTCATTATTCAAATTGCATTTGATTTGACAAGAAAAAGCTATGAAACGCCAGGATTTTTTTAAATAGACGTAAGTAACAAAAAAATATTATCTCATAGATAAGTACATAGGCTGCGGGTGTCATGTTATCCAACGTAACCTTGAAGCTCTTGCAGCGATGTGGTTTGGCCAGAAGATTCCAGCACAGAAAAAAAAACGGGTTCCTCGTGAACATCTAAAGAGTTACATTACCTCTTACGCTTTGGATTGCTCTCAAAGAATCTGGCCTCCAAACATGTAGTAGAAAACCCATTAGGTAAATGGGCAAACATCCCGATCCCGTAAGAACCTCAAGGCTCCGTGAGGCTCTCCTGGGTAAATAAAGGATTACGGTGAAGAGGAGCACACTGCACTGTGAGCCCAGCAACCAGACTTCGATTCTCGATCCACAGCGGACATCAGTGGCGAGTGATACCTAAACCGGGCTCAGGTGTCCCAGCAACAACCCGCAATAATCAGTGCGGTGAAACATGGTACTGGATCCAGCAGTGGATTGCCAGCCGTACATTATTAAAATTTTTGAGTGTAAGAGACTTGTCTCAAGATTTTTCCAAACTAAAATACCCATTCAAACTGAGTAAATCGACGATCGTGCGCCTAATTTAGCTTCATGCGTACAAACTCTAACCCTAACCCTGCGACAGTTTGTTCTCTAACAATTCTGACGAGCTCAATGCACGGAATAAAGAACCGGTGATGACGTAGCAGGCTGTTCGCCAAAACTTTAATTGCTTGAAGGAAAGTGGGCAAAACTGAGTACTGCTGGAAATGTTTTTGTTTCAGATGAATACAACGGTGGCATTGTCAGCCATGCGCCCAGTACGCTGTCAAATGTGTGATCCCAATGCCCTGAGTAATATGGGCATCACCCACCACGCGTAGTCACCCTGTGTCACCCCCATCAAACCGCGGCTGCACCTCCGATCAGCCTGGTTGGCTACGTAGGGTTGCGAAAGAATTTCGAAGTTCAGCAAACATCCAGGCTGTGTCGCTGCCTGGCACACTCGCGCCCTCTGTCGACTTTTTGTGTGCATTGCACTGACAAGGTTTCCACGCGCCAGTGTTCCTTCACCGACGTTGACTATATTTTTGTACCGCCAATTGTGTTCCAACTCGGCACACTGCTGCCCTGCCCTCTGGCAGCAACTTGAGTTGTCACGAGCTGGGGGTCAGGGTTCAACCCAAGAATCCCTCCCTTTCTGTCTCGTTTTTTGCGCGTCTCGTTTCTACCGTTTCTCATTAGTGATGGGTCATTTGTACAGCTCGGTTCGCTCCGCTAGCTTCGGTGTAAACAATAGCATATCACTTGCGTACATCTTCAGAAATTGTAAATAAGTCCTGAGCTTGATGCGCTTTCTGATGCGCTTCCGCTGCCATCTGGAATGCTCTTCCTTCCGATATTAGGAACACTGGCGGAGCCATTGGTTGGTGGGGGGAGGGGGGGTGGCACGTGCCCCCCCAATGATCCGATCGAAATCCCTCATTTCGATCGGATCATTGGGGTTTATTAGTAATAAATCGGCATTTTGCGACCCCCACTGCCACTGTGTAGCATATTATTACGTGGCCAGGGACTCTATGAGATGACAGGACAATAGTCTGTGTCCATAATTGGCAATAAGTAACGGTACAGCAGTTATAAGTGACTCTCAGAATGGTGCGCAGTTGCGTCTACAGAGTCCACGACTTCCCCGAAGGCATCAACACCTTCAGCGAGCGCGATGCCGATCACACAACGCGGTTCGAATTCGACCCTCGATCGATGTCTGCGCCATCGCCGCACATGCGTCGAATAAAAGGGACAAGTCCTTACCAACAACTCCTCTATCATTTTTCATTGCTGGAGGGGTTGCCCCCGCCTACCTGAAAATCCTGGCTCCGCCATTGATTTGGAAGCCACTGGAGCTACTACGCACTTTTAAATCGTCTATATTGAAAACCCATTTCTTTCTAACAGCTTTTCATGTTGAGTTCATCGTCCTTCCTCCGCACCTCCGATTAGCACAATTTGCTAGAAGTATATATACCCCATAACAGAATTGATGGGGCAAGTTGCAGTGAGGGAGCACCTATGAAGGCCAACGGGGCACATGAGGTGGTGGGTGGCCAGCATCGCGCCCGGCCACCTTTGTCTCCCTGGTGGCAATGTTTACACACCGCGCCAGGTACTCGTTTGAGGCTAAATGCCACACACACGTGCGCACGCACGGGGCTATTGGCGAACGCGCCGAGTTCTGGAACCGATCACCGAGATGTGGACCCCGACTTCACTTGTATTTATTTTAAATATGTACGTAGCGCAAACAGACCACAAAGAGATTTCAGAGCATTGTACAGAATAAAGAAAATAACTTACAATGAAGGTAAGACAAAGGCGTAATAAATAACATGCAGTGACAATATATCAGTGACAAGACGTATTAATGGTCACTTATTGGTAGCGCTAAACACACTCGTCAATGACAGATTGACGCGATCGATCACTCCGTGCGGTGCGTGCGGTGCATGCACCACTACACCACTCTCCCTGCACCACCACCACCACACTCCCTGCACCACCACACCACTCTCCCTGCACCACCACCACCACACTCCCTGCACCGCCACCACTCTCCCTGCACCACCACCACTCTCCCTGCACCACCACCACTCTCCCTGCACCACCACCACTCTCCCTGCACCACCACCACTCTCCCTGCACCACCACCACTCTCCCTGCACCACCACCACTCTCCCTGCACCACCACCACTCTCCCTGCACCACCACCACACTCCCTGCACCAGAACACTACTCTCCCCCGCACCACCACCACCCCACTCTCCCTGCACCACCACACCACACTCCCTGCACCACCACCACACTCCTTGCACTACCACCACCACCCCACTCTCCCTGCACCACCACTCTCCCTGCACCACCACCACCACCACACTCCCTGCACCACCACCACTCTCCCTGCACCACCACCCCACACTCCCTGCACCACCACCACACTCCCTGCACCACCACCACCACTCTCCCTGCACCACCACCACCCCACTCTCCCCCGCACCGCTACCTGCAGCGAGGCCTCAAGCTTGGCGATGGGCTGCGTGAGGGGGTAGTCGGCGGGCTGCGTGTCGTACGTCTGCTCGCCGCTCGACACCGGCCGCCCCAGCCCGTGGCACGCGCTGCGGTTCCGTGGCGACACGGCGTGGTCGCCCGCGATGCTCAGGTAGAACTGCCCCAACGCGCGCACAACAAAGACAAAGAAAGATTCCCCCCCCCCCACCACCACCACCGTGTAGCCTTAACAGACTTTTGTGGCAAGTGCTGTTAGCGAGTAAAGCCGATGAAGGCCGGCACCGCAGGTGAGGGAGTGGGATGGGTGGCTCCCAGCATGCCCAGCCGCCTTATCTTCCCAGTGGCGATGTTTTTATACGCCGCACCAGGTACTCATGTGAGGCTGAGCTGCACTCAAGGAGGCCCGGGACCGGTTAAAAGAATTGTTCGTCACTGGTGTTGGCCGTGAGTTGGAATCGAACTCGGGCCGCCGGGTTCGTAATATAGCGTGCTAACCGCTGCACCACCGCTTGCCAGACACACACGCACACACAAATACGCAAACTTATACACTGGATTTCATTACTAGATATTTACCGGAATGCTGCTAGGCTGGTTTGGGCAAGGGATTAGCGGTATAAGGCACTACCACTAGAGTACAAGGTACGCCTATCCATAATAATCCTATATCATTGATGATGATGATGAATGATGATGGATGACGATGACTTCGTCACGGCACCTTGTAGAAGAGAGACAAGGCCAGGGACTTGCGGTATTGCGGACTCGCGGCCACAGGATCACTGTCTGGCTTCAGCTCAGCTGCCAGCTCCAACAGGACACCTGGAGGCCACGAAGCCCCGAGGCAATGGTCAGCAGTGGCCCTGAGTGCTCTCAGAGACATCCGGCGACCTACGCCAAGAATTTAAACCCAGCACCGTGCAACTGCGCGCTTACAGATGCGGCATCTCCGGCATTAGGAAGCCACTGATACGAAAAGTGAAACACTGGAGCGTGCCTTTGTGCGCGTGCCAGTGTGTCGCCGCGTGCGTCTGCGCGCGACTGTCTCCGACCTTGCAGCGTGGCCGCCGAGCTCACGTCCTTGCCGAGGAGGAAGCGCTCGGCCCGCTCCGCGTGCACGAACCCCGGAGCGACGCCCCCGTACACGAGGGACGCCGCCGTCACCACGCGCTGACCCCCGTCCCCGGCGACAATCTTCGCGCGGAATCCCGCGCTCACGTACGCGTGCGCGTTCTGTGGCGCGCGGCAATCGGGAAACCATCAACTGGGAGTGGTGACGCGCCTGCAGTATGATCAGCACGCTGAGCGACCAGACACGTGTATGATCACATGGACAACATGAGTTGTTGCCTACAGAAGGAATGGTAGCCCTGGTCGAATAATAGACACTGCATATTCCCATCACTTCGTAGGAATGACCAGTGATGAATTCCCAAAATGTGGTACTCATTTACAGAGAGTCCAGGGGACAACGGGCTGAGTTGAACCCTGACTGTCCATTGAACTCCCAACTTCCAGTGGAGCTCTCTCACCTGGTTAGACAAATAAACCTGACCTGAGCGCTCTGACCAGCGCCAATTCTCCAGCTGTGTCAATGGGAAATGTGCACACACGGCCAACACGTGGCATCGTTTATCTCTCTTGAAATTACAATTGAGGCTGACTGGGCAACAGTACCTGATGTTATACTTAAGTGATACAAACGTTACAGATTATACATCAACAGTTTAAAATGACTGTACTCTATGCAATGACTCATTCTTCACAGTTCAGTTTTTTTCTTTATCCTGATTGTTCTAACGGCGGAATGCCATGACGCAAAGGACGCTCCCAGAGGAGTGCATCCCTCCACGTTAGCGAACGGCCCACAGAAGAAGATATCACAGAGCCGCTGCTGAAATCTCTTCCGAGTGGCTTCTTGTTCACACCACGGGGCAGCACTTTCATACCTGCCCTGTTACACAGGGCATCATGCATGTGTGTGTGAAAGTTGAACCTCTTTTGCACCGTACGTAGGCAACCGTGCTAATCGGAGGTGCAGGTAATGTTCGTTGCACAACGGTCACCAGACCGATAGCTATCATTTTCATGGCTGCCATTTTGCCCAAATTAGGTGCAAAAACAAATATAAATTATGGGATTTTATGACAGAACAATCCATAGCAATCATTCCATCTAAATAAAGATTCTGATTCTGATCTCAAGATCTCAGCAGGGGCCAAATTGACAGTCAGATATTACAAACGAGGAAGTATAAACAAGACAAAATACAAATCAATTCCTGAATAGGATGGGGACAACTTGTTACATGCATCGAAATTACCAACACACAAGTGCCTCTCACAATACCAGTAGAAGGCCAGGCTTGTGCAAGGTCCGGTTTGCGTGAACTGTTTACTCACCTGTGCTCTCATCATAACTTTAAACGACTTGAAAACTTCCCCCGGGGTGAGCTTTGGAATTTCCATGCCGACAATGACCTATGGCATCAATCAGCACACCACACCACACACGGCACTGTCAATCATCAACCGACGCTTTCGGCCGTTTGGGGATGCGAATGCACATTGACGTGCTCTCTCAACTGCTGTCGCATGGCGTGGCTCCGGTCATGAACGTATTCTATAAAATAAAACAGGGGTTAATTTTCACTTCCGACGGTGCAGCCCGCCCGGCATTGACTTGCACAGTCAACCCAACAACACCTGGCTCCGTCCTGCGACCTCCTGCAAGCGAGCCTTCGGCACTTCACGTGGCCTCATGGTGCGCCTAGCCCGGCACAAGCGCCGTGATGACATCACCGCCACTTAGTGGCGAAGGTGGCGGTTTGTTGTTGTTGTGGTTGATGTTACTTGCTCAAGGAAGGGCCTCTTAGAGGGTATTAGGCCAAAACGTCTTGGAAGATGGTGAGCGTTACCCACACTTTAGCCCACCATATGTGACCTGCTGATCGACTGTGGTGTAGTCTGCTGGGTGGACAGAGGTAGTGAGAGGGATTTAAGAAACTTGCACCGTTGGCCCTTCTTTACAGCAGCACAAATATTATATTATACTTTATACTATATATATTGGATCCATATATGTGCTATGAAGAACGGGAAATGCCTCAAACGTTGCTCATGATATTATTATGTAGAACAATATATACGCCCTTTTTTTCCTTTTAGGGCTTTATCTTTTAAGAACGTGTTGAATGTTTGATATTTCCGAAAGCAGGTTACATACACAAAGTGACAAAGCACATGCAAAGCTGGTAGTGCAATGCCAGCTGCAAAAAAAGATAAAGGCCAGCTCAACGATGTAAATGTGCCCCGCCAGCATCGCTGAGGACAAAACAAGAACAAAACATTTTAAACAACCAAGAGATTGAGACATTCAATTAATTCCGGCTCTGACACCAATTTGCTCAATTTTATTTCTTGAGCTGCTCCTTTCACCCCCACATTTAGCTCAAGAATGCTGCGAAAATGAGAGCACGCGTCCCATTCTACACAGCAGAACATGCAGTGCAGGCACACGCACGCATCGAGCCAGTGGCACGCGGGGTTATTCGTGGTCAATGCGCACGACTCGCAATTCAGCAGATTACCGAGCTCAAATCGCGGTTTAGGGTCGACTCAATTCGTCATCCCACCGGGGTTGCTAAAATACAGTAGAGGTACCATCATCCAAACGATGGGCCGCTTTGTTGAGCTATCATTTGTGACCGCTGGGTCGCTTCTGAAAAATAAGTTAAAAGCTCAGTGGGGTTTGCCTGGTAGGATGGGGATGGTTTGGTTTTATTTGTATGCGTGTGGGTGACTTGTCTACCTCTCTTGTGCTTCGCACTACTATCGTGTTATTGCACTGTTTGTTGTTGTAACGTTTTTACCAGCCCCTACTGGACATCCGTCAAAAAGGGCTTCATAGCTCATTGGATTCCTCCAGTATAAATATTCTGGTTCTGATCTTGTAAGAAGTGTCAGCAGTGGTTGTCGTGTGGAGAAACTCGCCCCTATCGTTTGAGACGTGGGATATCCAACCGCCAAACCAGAGCCAACAGCGGAAATGAGCGTCACACCCAGTGCTCGTTTGAACTGCGAGACATTGTGACGTTAATTATAATTCAATAATCGACTGACATCAGTAGGTTCCAATTCGAACGAATGCATGGTGGCGCTCTCCTCTTCACAACAACCCTAAATTCCTCATTCCTGCAGCAGATGGGATTCAATCCAGAAGACTAATTTTATCAACCCTGGATGGATGTATGGCTGAGTTGACCCCTGACTGGGATATGAACTTACAATCTTCTGATTGTGAACCGCACGATCTAACAACTGCGCTACCCAGCCAAATCCGCAATCATCATTATCAGCCATTCTTCTTTCGTACAGCTGATGCAGATGCAGAACAACGACTACAATTTCACATTCAGGTGGTCAAGCCCAGACAACCGCGTCAGCAGCAGCAGAGTGTATCATCGCTGTGACGTCTCCTTCGTATTTGTGAATCGGGCATTGCTTCGTTGTTGTACGCTCTGTTCTGGATGACCACAGTCGCGCACTGGAGAGTTTTTAATTTTACATTTGTGCATCAGGCATCCGCGTCTGCCATGGTGTGTGCAGTGGATGCGGTTTAATGTGGACCATGATGATCGATCTCCCGGTCTCCAGTGCAACAACACATCTTCAGCCATGATCAATTCATAATACGGAGAATACGGTATGAACACGAGCCATACCAAACACAGGTCCAGCTGCAAATGCAACTCGGGTGCCGCGAGGCATCGAGTCACGGGTGCCCACGGCAGCGAACGTCTGGGATGGCGAGGGCGGCCGGGGACTCGGCAGAGACCAAGTGTGGCATTACGGCAACGCCGACACCAACGCGGGCATTGCGTGACCAATCCCGAGGCTTCCCTCCGGTCCCCCAAAAACAGGGGCAAGCCATCTATGTGGCCGCCTAACAGACAACACGGCTTCGAGGCTCTGCCTTGAGAGATGACCGACCTTGCCCTTCATGTCCTTGCTGAGGAACTGCACGAGGTCCAGGTAGGCCTCACTGGACACGTCGCTGATGCGGATTTTGGTGCCCGCCGCTTCCAGGACGACGAAGACGTCCGAGACGAAGTCGCGGTGAGCGTGCTTCATCATCAAGTTGCCGGCCCAGCCGCCGGCCTGGTGGAAATGACGTCAGGTCAAAGTGTGTCTCCCGTGTCTCGGCCTGTGTCTCAGACCCCTGTCTCTCATGTCTTCCGTGCCTCCCGAGTCTCAGACCCAACGTACAGTTATAGCGTCTCTCGTGTCTCCCGTGTCTCAGACCCAACATACGGTTATCGTGTCTCTTGTATCTCCCGTGTCTCAGACCCAACATATGATTATCATATCTCTCGTGTCTCCCATGTCTCAGACTCAACCGTACGGTTATCATGTCTCCTATGTCTCAGACCCAACGTATGGTTATCTTGTCTTTCGTGTCTCAGATCCAACCATACGGTTATCTCCCTGTGTCAGAAACGGCAAAGCAGCGTAGATGTTGCGCAGCTCACGTTTCGCACAGACTGATTGGCCACTTTGCTCAGGTGCTCGGCGGTGGCTGCGAAGGACTCCGATTGGTCGGCATGCTCCCTCAGGGAGCCAATCAGCTTGTTGAGGCTCACGGATGAGCCCACCCTCAGGCCCGTGGCTTCGAGAGACACGGCGAACAGCTCGGCCACACCCTTCACATCGACGTACGCCTGGAAGGGTCCGTCCGTCTTGTAGACGCCTGTCACACGTGCGGAGGTGTACAGCAGCGGTGGCGCTCGGCATTAGCACGCACGGCAAAAGCTTAGCGCCCCGAGAGGCAAATAAGGGTCCCAGGATCCATGAGCAAAAAAAAAGAAGATGCACCAAAAATCTGTTAGAATTCAGATCCTAATAAACATAACCGTGTTAATCGGAGGTGCGGGGGAAGGACAACAAACTAAACACAAAAAGTAGTTCTAATGAAATTAGTTTTCAATTTAGATTTAAAAGTGCATAGCTCCCAGTGATTTTCTAATATCGGAAGGAATAGCGTTCCAGACGGCCGCATACATGCAAATATGCGGTATGATATAGGATTATCATGGATAGGCGATACCTTATACTTGAGTGCTGGTGCCCTGCGCCGGTTATCCCTACTCCAAGGCAGCCTGGCAGCTTTCGGTAAAATACCAAGCCAGAAATTATAAACTATAAAGTATTTAGATTTTACCAGGTAAGGCCCAGTGAGCTGTACAGCTCTTTTTCAGAAGCAACCTTGCCACAAGTGATAGCTCAACGAAGTGGCTTATTGCGTGGAAAATTATAGCAGCCAAATACTCTCAACGGCATGTTTATAAATGCGGAGGGAAAAACAAGAGGACTCGGGGGAAAAACCCACACGACTGCGGGGAGACGTGCAAACTCCAAATATACAGCAGGTGTCAGGGTCGGAATTGAACCCACGACCTCCTGTATACTGGGCGAGGTGTTTAACATCTTGCCACTACGCCGGTCGTAATCGATCCGTTGCCCGTCCCTCCCCCCGCCAAGACCCTCACCCTTGCCCGTGTCTCCTCGCACCAGCTTCACGCTCTGCCCGCTCAGCTGCTCCACCGCGACGAGCAGCTCCGTTAGCGAGGTGGGGCGGAACCACTTGACGTCAGCGGCCGCGAAGAGATGAACGGGGCCGGCGGCGGCGGCCGTCGCTTCGCCCGAGGAGCACGAGTGGTCGCCTCTGCACGGCCGCCCATTCTTGGGGCAGAACTTGAGGTCCTGCCCGAGAGGGGGAGACAGAGAGAGAGAGATAGAGACACGCGGTGTGGACAAGAGGCGGCGAGAGCGGTGAATTCAGGCTCGGAATCTTTTCTTTCCTTCCTCCTGGAGGAATTCGGTGAGCTGTGAAGCTTTTTTTTCACAGATGCACCAGGAGGGGCGCGGCCAGCACGTTTGAACAACAAAGAAATAACAAAAAAATAAAGACGGGAATGCAAAGGTGGAGAAAAGGTGAGCAAGTTCCTAAAAATAAATAAACATAAAGCACATAATACAAATTGCACACATTCGTGCCGTGAGGCGAAGCTGAGGGAGGGAACGGGTGCCCCTCGATGGTGAAAAAAGTGGCCGGGTGGCGCTGTGGTGTGTTGTGAGCTCAGAGCTGGGGCGAGGGTCGATTCGGGCAATCTCAAAGTCAAAATGATATCCTGAGCCAGTGGTGAAAAATCAACAACCCTATGGCGGGGGATAAGAAAGTGCTTGGGCGCGCGGTAAAGTGGATATGAAAATAATTAAATTGCTTGAAAGGATTTCGAAAAAAGAAAAACAAACAAAAACTCATGAAACATTTCAGTCGTAGTTCTATGATATCTCCTTCTGCAGGCCGTTGACTAAAACATCCACTGCCGTGTAAGCACTCTACGAGGATGCATCATCTCATGACATGATGCCATGAGCACAATTCAAATAAATATTGGCAAAGGACAGAGAAGATTTCATCACGTATCTCCATGCAAATTAGATTTTTCCAGATTGAATTAAAAAAATATCTATTTTACTTATTTCAACCTATCCCTGGTCTGAGGGCTAACATTATTAATTAAACGAAATGACTGACACATGGAGAACCACTGTTTTATTTTCAGAGCATGAAGGAGCGATGTCTAGTCCTAGGCTGAGTGAGCCCTATTAAAGTGACTGAGTGATCTAAAACACGTCCAATGATTTACCAACACAAAGCCTGTAATGGAAAACAAGGCACAAATCAGCACTAATGTCAGCACTTATGACCGCTAATGGTGAGTTAATGAGTGATGACCGTGCGACATAACGTAACAATGTCCTCGATAAATACAAGATGCACGTGACTCAAGTCAGCAGGCAATCGATGGCAGAGCCATAAACGTAGCCGGTACGTCATGCCACATGCCACCGCTGTTAGTATTTACATCTAGGTGCGTTCGAACACGAATCGGTGCTCTATAGAAAATATTGGCAGCGGGAGATCCAGCGCGCATGTCATGATGTTTATACGACATGGTGAAAGTAGTGAAAATTAATATCGGCGAAAATAAATAACTTGCGGCGGCAACAGGAACTGGATGCATGCAGCGTCTGAAACGCGACCGCGTCTCAAAGCACGGCACAAACATGGGGTGAGTTCACGTCACGAGGGCAGCATGGTTCAGGGACAGTCAGCCAGGCAAAGGGGAAGGTCTTGTGACTGGATTTTGAAGAGGGGGATGAAGGCACGAAGCGTGGATGGCCACGCAGCGTGGCGTTTTAGGCCTGACGCCAATAGCAGAGAATAAGCGACTTCTCATTCGGGTGAGGTTGACTCTGGATGAAAACAGAAGTCGTTGGTTACTGTGGCAGAAGGAATGGGTTGATGGGGTGTAGTGTGGAGGAGAGAGTAGCAGAGGAGAGGGGCAGCCATGGAACGGGTCCTTGGAAGTTATTGAAGGGCGGGGAGGGCGATCGTGCAGTTGATACAGGATTGGATTTGGAGCCAGTGGAGAGATCTGAGGAATTTGCGTGAAGTGAACTCATTTTTGACAGCAGGTGAGAGCCAAGGTGCACATGACAAAAGGATATTGTATCGGATGAAACGCGCCATATTCTCTCGATTGTAAAACATCCTTTCCCCCCCCCCCCCACCATGTATTTTAAGGAAAAAAATGTGGGGCTGAAGTCTTATGATCAAGAGAACACACTGTTCTTCAGGAAGATGGCTCTCCAAAGTACGGGCGACTCACGCACCTACGAACTGATTGGTTCCTGTATGACGGTTGCAAGTCGAGCCGTCGCCTGTATCGTATTCTCCCGATTATAAAGCAAGACTTGTCTTTTTTTCAAAACGACCACGAATCTCGGGGCGCGCGCCTTACTTTCTGGAGCATCTTCTAACCCGGAGAATTTGGTAAGCTCTGTACGGGATGGGACCAATGAAATCAGTGTTCCATGTCAGGCATAGGCTTCGTATTAAATGGGGAGACGAATGTTCTGTACGAGAGAGAAGGATTCTTCTGTATTTGAGACCTGCGACAGCTCCTTCTGCCTCACTTTAGTTAAATATTTAAAATAAAATGTTTGTAGTACACTCTACATTATGTGATTTGTTGTCATTTTTTCTGGACATCTGTGAAAAAGAGCTTCATAGCTAATCGGATTCGTCCAGTATAAATAAATATTTTCAATCTTTATTTCTTTTTATTTCAACATTTCTTGCGACCTGCTATATACGTTACGTTTGCCAGGGAACCGATGATTTTGTTGATGAAACCCAATTCAAGAGCTTCTTAGCTCACAGGGTACTTCCAAATAAACTGCACTGAATTGTAATGCCTGCTCTGCCCCCTAATAAGGAGTGATGCACCGCTTGGCCAGTTCTTTATCTCACCACGTGATCAACAAGAGCAAGGTGGAAAACTATATGGGGGAAACGGGTTTTCGTCTCCGCCGCTTTGATACGGCAGGGTTTGCTCTGACCTCGATGTCAAGGCAGGACGGGCTCAATGGGGCCTTCCCATCTTTCGCAAATGACTTCATTGCATCCAGGATCGGGCGATAACCTGAAAGACAAAAGGGGTTGTAATTTTGTACATTTCTCGATTTAAAAATTAAAATGAAAGGACGATAACAGACGGGATTGAACAGTGCGCATCTCGAACTAAACCATTTTTTTTTTTTTACCAGGTAAGGCCCACTGAGCTATATAGCTGTTTTTCAAAAGTGACCTGGCCACAAAAGATAGCTCAACAAAGTGGCTTATTACGTGGACATTTATAGCAACCCAATATTCTAAACGCATGTTCCCAAGTGTGGACGGAAAAACCGGAGGACCCAGCGAAAAAATCCACACGACCACGGGGAGAGAGAGAGACACGCAAACTCGAAATATACAAGCGTCAGGGTCGGGATTTAACCCACTACGTTCTGCATACCAGACAAAGGTAATTAAAATCTCGCCACCGTGACACCCAGCAGTACTTTCTCCCAGTGATACTTGTGGTTTTGTGGGCAATAATATAAAATTGCATCACATTCTTTTGTTTGTTTTGAAAATCAGGGCCAGACATTGGATGCACAGTGCACGCACACTAACCTGTGCAGCGACAAATGTTCCCATCAAACACGTCCTCCACCTCCTGCTGACTGGGGGCCGGATTGCTGGCGAGCAGACTATGGGGTCATGACACGGAGGAGACGGGACACAGCCAGCTTTGAGTGTGTGTGTGTGTGTACGGGGATGCGTGCGTGCATGCGTGCGTGAGTGCGCGTGAGTGGGGAGGGGTAGTGTACTGGTTTGCGTGCTGCGCAATGAACTTGGCGACCCGAGTTAGTTCGATAACACGCTCACGGCTAACACTAGTGACGATTATCTGAACCAGTTCTGGGCCTCCCCTAGATCGACTCAGCCTCAAATTAGTACCTTGTGTGGTGTGTAAACATTGCCACTTGGGAGACAAAGGCAGCCGGGTGTGGTGATGGCCACCCACCCCCTCGAGTGCCGTGCCAGCTTTCATAGGTGCTCGCTAACAACACTTGCCTCAACAGTCTGTTTAAGGCTATAAGGGGGTGTTTATTTTTGTTTTTTTGTGAGCGCTATTATAGACGTTAGTTCACTTTACGAATCAGGCGACAATTCTCATAACAATATTTATCAATTAGACTCAACATTCTGAATTCCTAAATCTTGTCCTGATGATGATTGATGTAGTTGCAAGAACATTTTTGCATCCAATCGATAAATGTGATTATGTATATTATTCTTTAACTCACCTGACAGCTGAGTAATAATAATTGGCGTGTTAAACACTTGTAAACATGATCATTTATTTTATTTTGCTATATTGGTGAGTGAATGTGCCTTACATTTTGCCATCTTTTATTTTTAACAAATCATATCATTGGCTGTCAAAACCGACGTGATTTAAGTGTGACCATTAGTTTCATTCAGGGACTCCAATGCACGAGTCCTCTGTGCGGGAGCCTCACCTGTACATCTGCATAACAAAGCCGGGGCTGCAGTAGCCACACTGAATGCCATGGTGATCCACAAGCCTCTGCTGCACGGGGTGAAGGCCGCGCGCACGCACCATCCCAACGCCCTCCACAGTGATCACGTGATGCCCGTCCAGAGAGCACAGTGGGGCCAGGCACTGCATGGGGAGGACAGCAGGCGGGAATCAAACTCAGGGGACGAGGTTCATAGCACTGCGTGGTGAGAACAGCACCAGTGATGTTGGCCATAAGCCCGGAATCGAACTCAGGTGGCTAGGTCCATAGCACTGCGTGGTGAAAACATCACCACCGGTGTTAGCCTGCTCTTTTCGAATAACACGATGGGATGTTTAACGTCCACCGTGAAGCAGTCGACGTGTATTTAGTGGCTAATGCAGATGGAGTATTAACCAGGGCAGCCGCCGGGCTCAAACCACGAATGACTTCAACACGCGCAGAGATAAGCAGCGAGTGAGTAGGGCGAGCGAGTGGGTCCGTGCGAGGCGTACACTCAAAGCGCTTGCCACAAATGAACCACAAATACCTTGCTGATCTCGTCAAGGACCACAAACGGTCACGCGAACTCCGGTCATCCTCGCAGCAGCAGCAGCAGCACCAGCGGCTTTTGGCTAGCCATCGAACAAAGACGGTCATCGCACCGCGTGCTTTCCGATGCCCTTCCACGGCCGTCTGGAACACTCTTCCATCCGATATCAGGAAGCCACTGGAGCGCTGCACTTTTAAAATCCAGATTGAAAACGTATTTCTATAGAACTGCTTTTGACGTTGAGTTTGGTGTCCTTCCTCCGCACCTTCGATTCGCGCGGTTGGCTAAGTACTGTGCAAAAGAGGTTCAACATAAATACAGTACATACGTACGGAATTGATGGACTCGGTGAGCACTTTGTCAGGCTGCAGGGGATCCGCGTACTGCACGGTGACGACGCAGCAGCCGCAGCCTCCTTCGTGGCACATCACCTTGGTGCCGCTCAAACGCAGCGTTCCGCGCAGGAACTCGCTCAGCGTAGTGCGCGGGTCCGGGTTTTCCACTGCGAGGCAAGGATGAGGATTTGCATGACACTGTGCAGTATTCCCTCGTTATTTACAGAGGTGGCCACCGCACCGCGCGCCTTCGGATGCGCTTCTGCGGCCGTCCAGAATGCTCTTCCTTCCGATATCAGGAAGCCACTGAAGCTATGCACTTTTAAATCTAGATGGAAAACTAATTTCTTAAGAACTGATTTTAGTGTTTAGTTTGTTGTCCTTCCCTGCACCTCTGATTAGCACGATTCGCTACACACGGTGCGAAAGAAGTTCAACATACAGTACATACATCCATACAACTTTATATCCGCGATTTTGGCTATCCGCGAATCGCATCTGGAACTCTACACGGCTGCATTGAGAAAGAGAGAGAAGGAAAGTGAAGAGATAAAGCGATGAGAGAGAATGTCATGCGAGAAAGTGATGAGATAAAATAATGAGAGGGATAAAGGGAGAGAGAGAGAGAGAACTTCTCAAAGCTTTCGAAGGCATCTGCAGACGTTGTGTGTACGATATTTGTGGGCCAATATCATTATCCACAAAATGTCATATTCACGAGCATCTTCGGAACGTATTCCTCGCGAATAAAGAGGGAAAACTGTACTGTATATTGCATTTCCTGAAATGCCTTGGAAGCTCAAGCGGCACCTTACATCACGTCTCATCACGAGAGTTCAATTTTGACGTGCATTTTAATTGAAGGACTGTCTGTTGTCTTGGTGTGGTCTGGCACTGTTTTTGTTGTTGTTGTTGTGTTGCTGTCTTCCCCTAGCCTGCACTGATATCGTGTTTTTCTTTGTTTGTTGTCATAAACTTGCTGACCCGCCCCTCCTGAACATCCGTGAAAAAGAGCTTCATGGCTCATCGGATTCCTCCAGTCTAAATAAAGATTCTGATTCTCATCCCAATCAATTCCGATGCCCTGCTGCAGTTTAGCCAAGGGCACCTCCAGTGGCAGCTATCCCTGTGCTGCCATAAGGTGTACACAGCACCAGCCTGCAAGTGGGGATTAAGTCTGCAAGTAGGGGGAGATGTTGCTGTTAGTTTTCTCAACCAAGTAAAAACTATGCTGGAAACATTTACCTTCTACCGGTTTGCAAGAAATTCTGCCGTGTTTTCTTGAATATTAAATGCAACGTACTCGTTTAAGCAGTTACTTTACCGCAGCTTAACCGGGGAACGTACTGCCTCCTGCAAATAGCAGACCGTTTGCATCCAGGTGTTTGTGCCATTCACGCAGCTACGACCGCAGTGCGGGGACGAACGCGGGGGTAGAAAGGTTGAGATTTGACCTTGGCTCGAGACGGAAACGCTGCACTGCATGAGCACATGTGCGGCGTTGCCTGATGAAGAATCCAAACTAAAAACGGAGTTCGTGCTTGTAAAGTCCACTGACCTGTGTAGTCCTTCCCATTGACGGTCAAGTGCAGAGCTGCAGGTCCCGATGTCCCTTGGGACGACGCAGGCGGCGACGGGGGCATGGCGGACGAATCCTCCCCACCTGAAAAAACCTTCAACAGAAAATCAATTTTTTTTTAAATCGGCAAACAAACAAAAAACGAACGTTTAAACCGCACAAACGTTCAAAATGTCCCCTTCGAAGGCGGAAAAGCGCTGAGCATCGAGTGTAACTGCTTGCACCATCCCACGAGTAGCTTAAGATGGCAATCAACAAAAGGGCGGGCTCCCGTAGAGTTTTTAAGGAAAGCGTTTTGCAATCTCCATTGCCGACGCGAGCACGGTTAAAAGTCACTTGAGGACACCACGTGCCTCCGCATGAAGCCAGTAAAACAATAAGACTCACAGCTATGAATACAAGAGACGGATTCACACGGTTTAGCTGACAACTCGCGGAACAGACGGTCACATGGATAGCAGACAACTGGCGGAACAGGCGAAACACTGCCGAGGACTGACTGAACAGTCAAGATTGCAAGCTTCAGTGATGTTGTTCTTTCACCCTAATTTACAACCGGGAGTGGTCTCTTTTTCACTGCATGTTGTGCAACGAGCACATAACCCTTGTTTGTGCCATATTTCCACACTTAGTAAATGAGATTATTTTGCAGCATTATGTAATGCATTACAGATGTGTTAACCATGCAATGCTTGAAACATATCTGTGGAAATAATGAGAGATACCCATCATAATGGGAAAAAAACAGCACGGGCAGGAAAACCATAAGATTTAAACAGCACAGAGTAACATTGTTACAGAAAGCGCACAGGGCTTTGTGCATTATGCAAAAAAAAATATCAGCAGTTCCTAAAGAACTGCATTGTGGTCCCCTTGTCTGATGTCACTATCAAAACAAATTTGACCGACAAAGTATTCTTCTGGGAACCATGCCAAGTGGTTATGCTTCTCAGAGGCAGACTGTGCAGCGGTGAACATTGGTGACTAAACGATACTGATGAGTCAAAATAGGAACAAAACCGATCTACAGCTGTCCATCTCTGTATCACTGCTGCTGCTGTCAGTCGGTCACATTTACTAAATTTTATTTTGATAAGTAAAATAAAATTGATAAAAATAAAATTAACAAAAGGTGACAGCAATGCATTTCTTTAGGATAGTTTTTGCATAATGCACAACGGTTGAGTCCTTTTTGTACAGCCCTTTGTGTCACTCTTGGATACAACTGCAACCGCCGGATAGATAAATTACTGCAGCAATTCCATACATTTCAGGGCCGTAGCTCTGTAACAAAAAATATATTGTTTAGTGTCATTTTTACAGAATCAACGGTATTATTTTCTTGTTTTTTTTTCTTCTTCTTCCGTGTTTGGAAATTTATAGCAGCAGCCAAAAAACTCTAAACAAACTCAAAATATATACAGTCGGTGTCAGGGTCGGAATTTAAACCACGACCTCCTGCATATCTGGAGGTAGTTAACATCTCGCCACCTTGACACCCCCCCTGCCCCCCCCCACTGCAAAAAATACAGGATCTCACTAAATAAAGTGATGAGGGGTTTCGGCATCCAAAGTATTAACTCCTATGAATTTTGACCTGACTGGATGTTTGAGTCCATATTGCGTGTGGAAGTAAAAACAATGCTTAAATCCATATACATAGGACATAAATTCGCTTATACTGGGCGCCGCGGTGACGAGATGTTTACTCCCTCGCCTGGTATGCAGGAGGTCGTGGGTTTAATCCCGACCCTGACGCCTGCTGTATATATGAGTTTGCATGTTCTCCCTACACATTTGGAAACATGCGTTAGGAGTATCTGGCTGCTATACATTTCCAAATGATAAGCCACTTCATTTAGTAATCAATTGTGGCCAGGTCGCTTCTGGAAAAAAGTGCTATATAGGTCAGTGGGCCTTGTAAGAGCCGTAAGACAGAAAGTGAGTGTATTATTTCTGTATATAGATTTGATGTACATCCGTCATACATTTGTTGACGGACTGGTTATATTTGATTTGGAATATCCCAATTGTGTAGAAACCCCCCTGTGTATCCTTAGTTCTTTCGGTAAAGTCACGTTGAAGGGAAACAACCGTTTATGTTATGGTCGAAACGTCGTGAGAATTTTTATTGTTTTATATATATTGTATTGTTTCCCTTCAACGTGACTTTACCGAAAGAACTAAGAATATGAATTACTGCAGTCACGAAAACTTTAAATCAAAGCCCCCCTGTGGTTAGACGCTCCGTTGGTTGAACCCATGGCGTCACTTCCGGTTTTTACACTATAAATAGGGGGGAGGGAGGGGCTCCGAGAAGAGCCGAGGGGGAGCGAGTGGATAGTCTTTTGGTCGTGCGGCAGGGTGACACAGTACGTGAACAGGCGAAGATATAACTTTAGAAAACGCTTGTTTTTGTGCAACTAAGAAATAAAGAAACAGTTTGATTTAAGACACCTCAAACACGCGTCAGACCTTTTGCTCCCGCAACTTAAGGGCGTAGCTTATTTTCTGGTACAAGAAAGCTGCGCCTAACAGGCCTTACCTGGTAAAATAAAATAGTTGTATCACTTGGCCAACTCGTAACCAATAGTAAATGTGCCTAATGATTAAACATTATTTGGTGATGCTGCTGCTGCGTTGGAAAGTGGCGCACAGGTACAGTACTTCATTAGATACCAATTGCAAAACTCAACACATTCGTCAACAACACTGCCATAATTGAACGAATATACATGGAACTAAATATTTACAATACATGCACGACGTTTCGGGCAATGGCCCATGGTCATGTGCTGGAAAAGGGCCATTGCTCATTGTGACCCATTCTACATTGCGCCTTTTGGAGGGTGGGGGAAGGAGTATTATTGACGAATGTTTTTTTTTCTATTGGTGTCCAATGAAGCCCCGTGTGTAGAGCACCAGTAAAACCACCGGCACCACTCCAGTGCTCGATTACAGGAGTGGCTTGCCCATATATCAATGGCCTTTTACCAGAATCAATAGACGGTATTGTTTGCTGTAGGCAAACTATAAATGGCACTCGGCGTTAAATTGCAAATATTGGCTAAAGAGCTAATGCACTATATATTGTCTTAATACGTGAGGCATCCAGTGTTGCTTTTGCAAGCTGGTAGCACCGCGGTTAGAATGCGTGGTGGTGAAAGTTGAGAATTTAAATCCTGGCTGAAGGTCGACGCAGTCTCTCATGCCACCGAAGTCGGTTGAATCTTAGTGCGTGTGTCTGTGTGTAGGCGCGTGACCCTGTGTGTGTGTAGGCGTGTGTGTGTAGGCGCGTGCCCCTCCCGTGTGTGTAGGCGTGTCTGTGTGTAGGCGCGTGCCCCTGTCTGTATGTAGGCGCGTGACCCTGTTTGTGTGTAGGCGTGTGTCTGTGTGTAGGCGTGTCTGTGTGTAGGCGCGTGACCCTGTGTGTGTGTAGGCGTGTGTCTGTGTGTAGGCGTGTGTCTGTGTGTAGGCGCGTGCCCCTGTCTGTGCAACTGTGGGGACTAATTACACCCTTTCTGAAAAGTTGAAAAGCAAGCCAGTATCAGGACTCTGGGTAAATGATAAAAAAATATCTATTCATGTTACTTTATTTAGTTTCATTTACTGTACAGTATTTATTACAGCATTACATGCAAATCTACAATATGTATTGTTATTTATGAGTTTAACAATGCTTCCATGTTTTGTTATTGAACCACAACACATGTTAAAACAGTGACCGCGTGTGCATTTAACTACAGTTCACTCGAGTACAGGGGCTCCTCTACTGACGAACGAGTTAGGTTCCAGAGGTCTGTTCGTAAGTCGATTTGTTCCAATTATACCCCTGTCGCTTCCAAATATGTTGTAGGGCATGTACACCAAACACGGGGAATTACTTTAAAGGTTGTATAATCTCCTGTAGATGCCACTGGTACTTAATGTTCTGCAGATGTAGATGCCACAGGTTCTTCATGTTCTGCAGATGTAGATGCCACTGGTTCTTCATGTTCTGCAGATGTAGATGCCACTGGTTCTTCATGTTCTGTAGATGTAGATGACACTGGTTCTTTATCTTCTGCAGATTTAGATGACACTGGTTCTTCACGTTCTGCAGAGGAGATGCAACTGGTTCTTCATGTTCTGTAGATGTAGATGACACTGGTTCTTCATCTTCTGCAGAGTAGATGCAACTGGTTCTTCATGTTCTGCAGATGTAGATGACACTGGTTCTTAATGTTCTGTAGATGACACCGGTTCTTCATGTTCTGCAAATGCAGATGCCACTGGTTATTCATGTTCTGTAGATGTAGATGCCAGTGGTTCTTCATGTTCTGCAGATGTAGATGGCACTGGTTCTTCATGTTCTGTAGATGCCACTGGTTCTTCATGTTCTGTAGATGTAGATGACACTGGTTCTTCATCTTCTGCAGAGTAGATGCAACTGGTTCTTCATGTTCTGTAGATGTAGATGACACTGGTTCTTCATCTTCTGCAGATGTATATGCCACCGCCGCAGCGGTTGAACTTACGACTCTTGTTCCAAACAGGCAACTGGACATACGGGGACATGTTTGTTTGTATCTATGAAAGTTCGTAAGTCGAATGTTCGTAAGTAGAAGAATCTCTGTACTGTGTTCCGACTTAACGACCGGGTCTCAGGAACGGAACCCCTTCCTACGTCGATGACCGCCAGTATTGTACTGAATGGCACGCGTACAGCAGTCGGAATCTGCCCCCCTTGCCATCTTAAGATTAATCATTCTGCTTTTGGACAGACTATGATTGATAGCATAACCATGCGACGGGGGCCTGAGTTCCCACTCACCATGAATAACATTCTCAACGTACAGGATTGACAGCCCCTATCTACACCCTCCTGTCTCAGTCAGAAGGAGGATGTCTTCTCGGACCCAAGACAATACTTCCAAATGTTATTTGGTGGTGGGGAGAGAGGGGGTCGGCGATAGGGGAGGAAAACCATAATGCGTGAATATTTTGTTACATTAAACCTGATGCAAATATTTCAAATATTCATGCTGGAATAAATCCCTGTGTATCGATATACGTAGTCACATGCGTTGGTGTACGGTGCTATTTCAGGAATATTTTGATGTTTTTTTTTTCCTGGATTTTCTGTTTGCACAGTCAACATAGTCACTTTAAGATGTTTTTCTTGTTCATGTTTTTTTTTGCGGTTGCACCCGATTCAAGAGTCGAATGGCTCACAGGGCTATACCAAAATAAATGGAACTATGAAACTATGCAAGCGGCCCTTATCGAGGGCCTCAACTGTAAAGGACGCGACCCACGCCTGTCAAGCGTGCATAAACGCGACCGAGTGGTGCAATGTTGCGCAATGAGCCACACGAGTTCTCTAAATCATCATCGGATCATTCCCTGAGGGGATGAGGAGGTGGTGGTGGTGGGAGCGGCTGATCCATCATCACCAGCTTAATAACTACATTTGGCAGGCAGCTTTGACGTTCGCGCACGCCGGCCACTGACTGAATTATCCCCACGTTGGCAACTCGACGACAAGGTGACTAAAGGTAACGTGGTTAAGTTTGTTTTTTTTCAAGCACACATTTTGTCGCTAATATAAGCGAGGCAAGGTGTTTTGTTTTAAGCCAGCGGTAGGTAGGGGGTCCGGTCGTCAACCAACCGCGGGTCTCTTAACGCGACTGTGGACGGCGCGCGTCACGCTCACTCGTTGACCGCGCGCGTTAAGTCGGTAATAATCCGTCACGCCGTGCCATTCAGTAATATAGTTTATTTTTGAGGGGTGGTTGTTGTCGCTGTTAATGTTTAAGCTCGCATTCTTAGTCGTTTTTTTTATTATTATTTACGCTGCTGTTAATTGAGGCGGGTGCCGCCGCCCGTCTACATTTCCCAGTTCGCACGGGCGGACGCAGCCAGGCACTCGACCCCGCATTGGTTGGAGGGCGCGCGAGGGGCGAAAGTGCCGCTCGCGATTGGCGCAAAATCTGCAACGTTGGCAGCGCCGACCAATCGCGCGCATGCAGGGTCGACGCTTCGCCTTAAGCGAACTACGCAATGTGAAAGCCTCGACACGAAAATCAAACGCATGTTTTAAAAAAACATTTCCACTTTTTAAAAAAACAAACGATAACCGCACCGTGTACAAGCGGCGGCTGTTCTAAGCAGTGCTTGATATAATAGCAGTGCCTAAATGCAACGAAACAACCGGAGGGCTGCTCGTTTTAATTGCTTAACGCGTCACGAGTCCGCGTCGATTCGCGGTAAAGGCACAACAGCTCCAAACGCGATGTTGTTGTTTTGTTGTTGTTGACGCCCTTTACCCCTCTTTTTAAAACATATAAATATCTGATCGCAATGTCGAATGTCTCTCAGTCGCTCACCTCAAGTGTGGTCGGCGTTCGGGTTTTATGGTACAATTCCCCGCTCGGTTGCTGCGCGGGTGTTTTTTTTTGGTGGTTGGCAGTGGTGGGTGGTGGTTGTTGGTGGTGGGTGGTGGTTGTTGGTGGTGGTTGTGTGTGGGTGGTGGTTGTTGGTGGTGGTTGTGTGTGGGTGGTGGTTGTTGGTGGTGGTTGTTGGTGAGTGGTGGAGGCGTCGTCTCGCGCTAGCGCGCCTCTTGTTGACCCAACCAGCGGCGGCAGCGGCAGTCAGCGACGCGCTTCGATTGTCGCGACGCTCAACTTGACGCTGCGCGTTGGGTGCGAGCGAGCGAGCGAGGGACGTCTCGAGGTCCACGGTGATTCTTCAGCGCACCGGTGTGGAGGAGGCACTGGTGGCCCCTGGGTGGCCTTTAGTGTGAGGCCCCTGACATGCGGGCCCCCCACCGACAATACGCAACAAGTGGGAAACACCCACCCCCCCCACAGCCCACCATCTCCATCGATCATGGCTGTCAAAGAACAAAAATGGTTTCAGATGTTGTGGAGGGCCCTCGACACTTGGCGATGTCTTCTTGTCGGCGAAAGTGGCCCCACTCCTCTGAAAATGAGTGAAGAGCGCTGCTCTAAGGATTAGCCATAATCCTGGTTCGCCACGAAGACGGCAAACAACACGCGTGGGAAAAAGAAAAAAAATCTCCCATCTGTTACATCTGGCTGGGATAGAGTGTTGCCCCGTCGCATGCGTGGCTTTTCGCATAGTGCTCCGGTTGCCTGCCACGTGGAAACGCTCATTGTCCGATAACACCCACTGAAGCCTGAATATCAATTGACGTCTCTAGCTTGCATATGGTCTCTAATCAATGTAATTCTAAATGTGCACCACTCCATCCTGTTACGAACAATTTCCTCGCACGATTTCCATTTTCTTTTATTAACCATGTTTTTATATTCACGTCACAGCAGGTATGAATATGCATTCGTCATTGTTTTTAATACTCCAAGTACTAAGGCATGTTTGAAAGCTTTACGCAATCTATGCTATGCGCCTAATTTTCTTCGTTACAACTGCGCTTTCAAATGCACCTCCCTGGTCGTCTGGAACGCCCTTCCTTGAAATATTAAGAATCCACTGGAGCTAATCACTTTTAAATCGAGATTGTAAACTAATTTTTCGAGAACTGCTTTTTGTGTTTAGTTTCTTGTCCTTACCTGCACCTCCGATTACCACGGTTGGCTACGTACGGCGTGAAAGAAGTTGAACATGCATACTTGTATTATCCATTTTCCTACGCTGAAATATCCCAGGACTGCGTGTTCTTAGTTTTGCACCTGAGGTCTCGCTTGCTTGCAAGAGACTTTTGCCTCACTGGGTGCCCCTTCGCCTGGTTGTAAAGTTCAGGTGTGTACGTACGTATGGACAGTCCGTCTGTATGCATGTGCGTCTCACTGGGTGTTGCAGAGCCGAGCGGGATGTTGAAAGCTGAGAACTGGCGTGGGTGGCAGCCACCAGCAGCAGCAGCAGCAGGGGCGGTGGGCAAGGAGGTGTACCAGCGCAGCGGGCACAGTGACGTGCTAATGGCCGGCCTCAACGAGCTGCGACGATCCAGCGCCCTCCTCGACGTCGTTTTGAGGACGGCAAACAACGGAGGTGCAAACTAATTGCTTCTTCCCCAGCCGGTTGAGCGTTGGCACGGGTGTCCAAGGTCAAAGGAGGTCGAAGTGACCTCATTCTCAAGTTCAAGAGGTACTTTTACTCTTTGGTTCTATTCGGTAAAGTCACATAAAAGTATAAAACAACAAAAAATGCACGACGTTTCGGCCACAACACAAGTGGCCTTCATCAGGTGAAGGGACCAGACTGTCTCGAGGACAGCACTGGAGTGAACACAGCCAAGCTCAGACCGCGACCTTTAAGCTTGTGTGAGTGGAATTAAAGTGCCTTGACAAAGGAATTAGCATAAAAATCAGCATTTCATTGCCAGACTTAGCATGATGAACGGTGTAGAAGGGGTGAACATGTGCAGACCGGCGAGGGGGGGAGGGGGAGTTTACATATTGATGGTGTGAAAAGGGAATTTAAGCAGCTGCGAAAGTTTGGGATACCACTACTTGAAAAAATATACTGTACCATTGAAAATTAGTTTAATGTTTGGTTCGATTTAGAACATCTTTCCAATGGTTGCTTAATTTGAAACCATCTTCTCGGTTGAAATTGTGTCTGTGTTTGTAAATCTGAATTGCCTCGTGAACACATCTCTGATAAAAACCCGTGGGTTTGCAAAGAACCTTGGTATCGGAGAAAATTATATCGTGATCACCCACAGCGTTGTAACAGTGATCAGCTACGGCAGAAGAATTCGTTCTGCCGTGTTTCAAATCTGATTTGTGCTCGCGAATTCGATCAGAGACATGTCGTTTCGTCTCCCTGATATAGCAGTCACCACAGGTGCAGATCAATCTGTAAACTCCGGGGTACTGTAAGTCAGGAATGACATTCTTCACGGAAGGGATCAGGTCACGGATTTTGTGTACTGTATTGAACTGGACCAGGATCTTGTGTTTGTTTAGAATTTTGGAGATCTTTTTAGTAACGCCTGCTCTATATGGCAGTGTGATGGTTTTGATTGGAGTATCAAGTGGTTATTTCTGTATGGAGGGAGAAACAGCTTGGCGGATGGTATGGTCAGAGTATCCATTCCTTTTGAGGGCCAGATGCACATGTTTTAATTCACTGGTCAGGTGGTGTTGGTCCGAAATGCAATGAGCCCTGTGGTATAACGTTTTGATGAGGTAATTATTTTGCGTCGGGTGGTGGTGGGAATCAGGTTTCAAGTAGGAATCTGTGTGGGTGGGTTTCCTGTAGACAGAATGTCCCAATGAGCCATCAGGTCTCCTCTCAAACAGAACATCCAAGAATGGCAGCTTGCCATCTTTCTCCACTTCCATGGTGAATTAGATAGCGGGGTGTCTGGAATTAATGTGGTCTAGGAAAAGGTTCAAAGCCGGGAGGCCATGTGGCCAAATGACAAAGGTGTCGTCTACATATCTCTTCCACAGGGAAGGTTTGAGGGTGAAAGTCTGGATGGCGTCTGATTCAAATTTCTCCATGAAAATATTGGCTATCACTGGTGACAAGGGGGATCCCATGGGGGTACCCTAATTTTGTTTGTAGAAAGAGCCATTCCAAGTAAAGTAGGTATTGTTGAGGCAGTGCCTAACCAGTGCAGGTGTATCGGGGTCTAGTCCATGTTGGACCAAATTTTCAGCTATTTCAATGGTATCAGGTACTGGGACCTTGGTGAACAAAGAGACCACATCGAAGCTGACAAGGATATCGTCAGGGGACAGTACAATGTCTTTGACCATAGAGACCAATTGGGCTGAGTTAAGTACTGCTGAGGCGGTCTTGCCAGTGAAAGGCAGCAAGGTATCTGACAGAAAACGGGCTTGTCTATGGATAGGGGACTTGATCGTGTATGCGATGGGTCGTAGTGGGGTGCCTTCTTTATGAATCTTGGGAAGACCATAGAATCTTGGGGGTCTTGCAGCAGAAGGTTTTAGGGAGGGACGTTTAGTTGGGTCGATTAGGGAGGTCAAACTTGTGATGATCTTGTTGGTTTAGGAATAGGTTTTACCCTTTTAACTGGCACAAAAACTGACACCTTTATTCAAGGCATCATGTTTGCAATAACCACAACACAAGCAGTCAAAATGCAAACAAAAAAGACAACTCTGATAATAATATGCATTGTTTGCATTTTGACTGCTTGTGTTGTGGTTATTGCAAACATGATGCCTTGAATAAAGGTGCCAGTTTTTGTGCCAGTTAAAAGGGTAAAACATATTCCTATATCTTGTTACTGGCAAAGGAGGTCTCATAATGATCTTGTTGGTTTTTATCGCAAGGCTATTAGTAGGGTCATTTTACATTTTTGAGTAACTTCCATCGTTGAGCAGATTCTGGATTTTGTTGTATGAATCTTTATCCATAATTACAGTAGTGTTGCCTTTACCGGCTGAGCGGATGACTATGTCATGTCTGTTTTTTAAATTCGCGAGTTCAGAGCGTTCATTTTTGCTGATGTTGCTAATGGGTTTCTTTGCATTCTTAAGAATAGTGGCTATTTCAGCTCTCACAACGTCTGCAATGTCATTCCTGACTTACAGTACCCCGGAGTTTACAGATTGATCTGCACCTGTGGTGACTGCTATATCGGGGAGACAAAACGACATGTCTCTGACCGAATTCGCGAGCACAAATCAGATTTGAAACACGGCAGAACGAATTCTTCTGCCGTAGCTGATCACTGTTACAACGCTGTGGGTGATCACGTTATAATTTTCTCCGATACCAAGGTTCTTTGCAAACCCACCAGTTTTTATCAGAGATTTGTTCACGAGGCAATTCAGATTTACAAACACAGACACAATTTCATCCGAGAAGATGGTTTCAAATTAAGCAACCATTGGAAAGATGTTCTAAATCGAACCAAACATTAAACTAATTTTCAATGGTACAGTATATTTTTTCAAGTAGTGGTATCCCAAACTTTCGCAGCTGCTTAAATTCCCTTTTCACACCATCAATATGTAAACTCCCCCTCCCCCCCTCGCCGGTCTGCACATGTTCACCCCCTCTACACCGTTCATCATGCTAAGTCCGCCAATGAAATGCTAATTTTTATGCTAATTCCTTTGTCAAGGCACCTTAATTCCTCTCACACAAGCTTAAAGGTCGCGGTCTGAGCTTGGCTGTGTTCAATCCAGCGCTGTCCTCGAGACAGTCTGGTCCCTTCACCTGATGAAGGCCACTTGTGTTGTGGCCGAAACGTCGTGATTTTTTTATTTTTTTATTTTATTTTTTGTTGTTTTATACTTTTACGTGACTTTACCGAATAGAACCAAAGAGTATGGATCCTTGCAGTCACGAAAGCTTCAAATCTAGAATCAAGAGGATTTTGTTTAACCAGCTTAGAACTCAAGAGACGGGAGAGAGTCTCATTTGCAAGAGTGAGCTGGGTTATGCTGATGATAAGCATGTATCATGAGCATAATATCAATATTAATAAATTAATCGATACATTGCCGCAGCCATATTACGTACTGCATGTTTAAGGACAATTTAAGATGTTTTGTGGGCGTTTCAGATCGCTGACATTTCATATAAATTTAAAAATGTCTTTGTTCAGTCAACCAATGCCATGTCACATCGCTTTTGGCAGAAAAGCAGGAAAGTAACAGCATGAAAGTGAATACACTTCTGGTGATGTCATGTTTTTGGATCGTCTAAAATTTCCTATCTACGCTGAATTCTGAGATGAATCCAAACATTTGGAACGAATTCCTAGGACTCACCAGTTGATCAATCCCCCCACACGCCAACATCCACCACAAGGGGAGTTTCACTGTCGTTGCCAAAGATGTCCTGGTGATTGTGTATTCTAGCTCTGCACGAGATATTCCACGAGGCATTGTTGTCCTTCCCCCCATGCCTCCCATTTCTCACGGTTGGCTATGTACGGCGCGAAAAAAAGTTCAACGCACGTACGCACATTACACATTGCGACTGTTCGTCCCAGGTGGAGTCCACGAGCTGAGCTGCCATCGTCTCGTCCTGGCCGCTTGCAGCCCCTACTTTGCCGCGATGTTCTCGGGAGGACTGCGCGAGAGCCGACAAGCCCACGTGGACCTCGGAGACAGCGTGGATCCACAGGTGCCCCTCACTCTGCACCTCCCACCCCCCTACCCCCACTCCTTATCAGTATTTCCTGTACGTTAATGTTAAAATCTCCTCCGACAACGATGTTCAGCCTTCCAGAAGGCCGAATGAAGTTAGCTGTGAAAGATTGACTTGAAACATACCTGGCAGAGGGGAATCTCTCGACTAGACCACTATTTAACACGGTAATATGGACAGTTCTGTTCCATTCGTGTTATTCCTTAACACGGAAAAGATGCGATTGCAGATTGACGCTGAGCATGCGAAGCAAGTCCACCACGAGGATTACCCCCCCACCAAAAAACGCGGCGCTTTTGTTGCTAGTTGATTTTTTTTCCCCTTGACGACTTGAATCGTGCCTCCCGGCTCTCCGTCCGCGCGCGGGGCGCAGGTGCTGGAGCAGCTGGTGGGCTTCGCGTACACTGGGCGCGTTGAGCTGGCGGAGGAGAGCGCCGCTCAGCTGCTGAGCGCCGCCGACATGCTGCAGTTCGGCGACGTGCGCGAGGCCTGCGCCGCCTTCCTGTGCCGCTGCATCTCGCCCGACTCCTGCCTCTCCCTGCTGGCGCTCGCCGACGCTCACGCCTGCGCCCGGCTGCGCACTCTGGCGCTGCAAGCCTGCCTGGAAAGGCAAGGGGAGAGGGCGCGCCGGATTTGGAGCACCGCTGTCACGCGATATGCTCCTTCTCCTAGCCTCTGGCTGCGTTTGAATAGCCGCGATTGTAATGGGAGGCAGTCGTGGCACAGTCGTGACACCTGCGCCGCACATCACTCCAGTGGTAGTTGCAGCGTCGGCTTTCAAAATGTTTCGTAGCTGACCTTGTGCTGTCCCCGGTTTATTGTGGCAGGCTGGAGGCCGGAGGATTCACAACCCAGATCATGAATCGAGTGTTGTGTTATAAACTTGAGGGCTATTTTTCTTGCAGTCATGCTGCTGTAGTAGTTGAACACGGTAGGCCCAAAGTGGCGTGTCATGGAAAACGCCCGCATCCCATCACCCTGGCCATCCGGCCCCCTTTGTTGGTAACGAAGACACGCCGGGTTAACGACACATTTATACGAACACGATCTAATCAAAAATACCTTTATTATGAATAATATGCCGCGAAAGCCCACGTGTCAAACCGACTGCTAAGTCGCTGGGCTTCCTCCTGCCGCACGCGCGTAGTTTTGAGCAAGCGTGCCAGGACCACCAATTCCCGCTCCTGTCGGCGGACGTCATTGCCGAGCTCCTGTCGAGCGACGAGCTGGAGGCCACGGAGGAGACGCACGTCATGCAGGCCCTCGCTCGCTGGGCCCAACACGACAGCGATGCACGCAGGTACGGACGTACAAAGACACAGATCCCCCCCCCACCCCGTGTAGCCTTAATCGACTGTTGGGGCAAGTGCTGTTAGCGAGCACCTATGAAGGCCGGCACGGCACATCAGGGGGTGGGTGACCAACACCACGCCCGGCCGCCTTTGTCTCCCCAGTGGCGATGTTTACACACCGCACTAGATACTCATTTGAGGCTGAGTCTATGTAGGGGAGGTGCAGGACCGGTTCAGATAATCGTCACTGGTGTTGGCCGTGAGCGGGAATCGAACCCGGGTCGTTCGGTTTATAGTGCAGCGCGCTAACCGCTACACTACCGCTCCCCACTACTGCCCCCCCCCACATAAATCCGTACACACACATGTACACATTCAGTCTATAGACTGTAGAGCACGTTTTGTTTGTGAGATCCCCCGCAAAGCCTACTTAGACTATTTGGGCAAGGCTTAGCAAACTTAATGTGTTACCCCATTGGGGTTTGATGTGCTCACGAAGGCATGGGCAGGGTCCTGGTTTAGTGCGATAACTGGCGCACTGTCCCCGCCCCGTGCAGACCTCACCTCCCGCGTCTGCTCCGCTGCGTACGCCTGGGGCTACTGTCCAAAGAGTTCCTCTCCGCGACTCTCAACGGGGGCGATGGGGGCGTCTTCTCAGGAGAGCCGCCCTGCCGCATTGCCCTTGAAGAGGCCCTCGCGTGGAGGAGGTCCTCGATGCAGAGCTCCGAGTTGGGGACCATGGCTCATCCACGGAGAAACTCTTTGACGATGTTTTTGATAGCGGGAAAAACCTTCGCTTCCGATATGGTGCGTTATTAGCATCACCGTTTACATGCTTTGCTTTTTTTTAAGTTTAGAATTTTATCATATTCACCGTACTATAGGCATCCATGTCCGAGATAAATTGTCAATTCCAAACTCTTGCAGAGCAAGATATCACAGAACAACTTCTGAGAACCCTTCAAGGGACTTTTTTTAGCCTCACACTAGTGGTCACACTTTCTCACACACATTTCTAGAGACATGTCCATGCCTTGACAGTCAAACCCATATTTATTCTTGGCTGGACTTTTAAGAAATCGTCAGTGACCAGGCTGAAACAATCAATACACTCTACTTGATAACCAGGTTTAATCATGTGTGGCTGAAATCCAGATTTGAAACCAGATTCGAACCCAGGATCTCAGCGTGTTCTCACACAGTACTCTTTACTCATGAGTCACCGGGCCACCTCATTGGTCAAAATATGTATTTGAACCCAGGATCTCATGAGTGCTTGTAAAGTTGACCTCAAGAATATTTTTACCTATGTGACTTTACCGAATAGAACCAAAGAGTATGGATTTTTACCTACGTGACTTTACCAAATAGAACCAAAGAGTATGGATCCTTGCAGTCACGAAAGCTTCAAATCTAGAACTCAAGAATATTCCCCACTGCCTTAAATAATGCAATTAGAGCCACCCCTACAAAACAAAAACATGGAACATTTTAGCGCGGGGCGTTAACCGCTACACTCCAGCTCCGCGGTACACGTGAATGAAACCACCGATTTCAATGAACTGCAATGTAGTTATCGGTCAAAGCAGGCAACACAAACAACAAAAGAGTTTCCCTCTGTTGTGCCTCACACCGCAGCTCTTCTCCGTCAGCCGTCACACGGGCTCGCTGACGCCGCGCCGCTCGCTGCCCCGGCAACTCAAGCAGTCATCGGCATGCGCCATGGGCCAGCGCATCCTGGTGACGGGCGGCAGGGCCCAAGCGGTGCTCACGGAGGGAGGCCGGGCCCCCGCCGGCGTGTGCCAGGCCGAACGAGCCACGTGGGTCTACGATACGGCGGAGGACGAGTGGAGCCCGGGGCCAACCCTCGGCCTCACCAGGTTGGCGGCGCTTGGCGGCGGGATTTACGGCGGAGCAACGTCGGGCGTCCGACCCGTGGAGTCACGTCGAGTCTCTAATCGGGGAGAAAAGGTTCACTCTCGAAGCTCGCGGTACGTGCGCCAAGTCGCACGTCTCACGATCGGTTCGGTTTATTTTGTTGTTGCGACGTTTGCAACGGGGTTTCTATGAACCCTGCAGCCGCCACAGCTGCTACATTCTCCACAATGTAAACAAATCATTGATTCTTGATTCAAATAGTGAGCTCGAATCGCAACAATGGATCGAATTGTCAGGGGAAGGAGTGGGGGGGGGGGTGCATGAGGTGAATCGTTATAGCCAGAGTTGCATGTTGCACACGGAGTATGATTAGAAAAATAGTTAAAACACTACCTTCAGTGCCATGGGCACAGGCTACCACAGTTGTGGTGTTTGGAAGGATGACTGAGTGTCCCCGACTCCTTGTCCCTGCGAGGTACGCGCACGCGTCCACGGAGCTGGACGGCCGCGTGTACGTGGCCGGAGGCTACACGGTGGTCACCGCAGTGTTCCCCATGTCCATGTCGGAGCCCCTCAAAGAGGTAACGGCTTGGTGCGTCACCCCCCCCCCCCCGCCTCCAACAATTGTGATTCTGTGCGTCTCTCCATATGGGAAAAGACGCGTGGGTGCAGCCTTAAACGCTTAAATGACTTGCTTTTGAATGCTTTATAAGCAGAACATTCCAGCCCAAGCTCTGCTTTACAGTTTCAGCCTGGGGGTGTTTATTAAATGTTTTAAGTCCTGACATGTGTTCGTCAACCACTGCGCCGCCGCTCTTGTTAATCCGAGAAAAGGATGAACAAGAAAGAGCCTTGGCAGTCGGTAAGATTTTCTCGTGACAAATTAAATCAGAGTTGAGGCCCGTTCATCACTGAAACGACATTGTAAATTGTACTCACCACGTAGAACTGTAGCAACACGACCGCTCTCTGATAGCTGGCGCCGAACTCTGCCACACGCATGGGCTTGTGGGAGCCTCGGTACCGATGAAGTGATTGTATTTTAGTTTTTATTCCGGTTCCACTCTGATGACGGAGTAGAATCGGAAAAAAAAACTGGAATGTGAACTGGTTAACCTGACGTTAAAAAAAAATTCCGAGCAATCACTCGCTGCAGCTGAAAAAAACACGAACACCCCCTTACGTGATTCCTCATTCCATCTTTGCCCGTGCAGGTGGAGTGCCTACACTCCGGTGCGTCTGAGTGGAAGCCCGTGGCCCCCATGCCCCACGGACTCAGTTACCTCGCCATGGCCGGGAGCAAAGGCAAACTCTACGTGTTTGGCGAGACGGAGTTCGTACCGCCGGTAAGACGCTGACACGGGCACCAATGGCGGCGCGCCAAGCCGGTGCCGTTCAGGACCTGCGCACGAATCCGGGATTGCGGTTGCGCCACTTGTGATGAAAATTGGGTTCTTGAGCATTGATGTTCCCGGCGCCATGTGCTTCACGCTCACCGTTAGCCCCCTTGTGTACCGCGCGTCATACTCTGCGTTGTTCGTGGACGTAACGATTCACGACACCTTTCAATCCCCCCGCCGCTTTACCCCTCAATTTGATTAAATGTTACGGTTCAGAATTGATCTATTCGGGTCAATATTCCGCTCCCTTTGTCTCGTTTTTACCACCTCGTTGGTATTGTTTTAATTGCTCATTCAGCCTAACAGAAACAATAGCATTTTATTGGCCAAAATAGATGTGACGCATGTATCGTGAGCCTTAGGAATTGTTGTTTATTTAAGAATTACCACAATTGATTTGTTTACTTTTTGCCGGCACGGTTGTACAGTTTTGTTCTTCCGTTTAGCCTAAATGTAATGAGCACATCATTTGCATAAAATATTAAATTCTCTCACACACAAGCATTTATTTCCCTCCAATTTTATTCTGTATCACCACGCACACCCCCTACCGTATCGCCACGCGTCCCATCACGCGTATCACACGCATGTCACCACGCGTGACTCGCACATCGCCACGCATATCACACGCGTGTCACCGTGTGTAGCATGCGCTTCGCCACGCAGGCCGTACCACCGCGCGTATCACCGCGCGCGTGCGTCTCCGGCAGGCCGTGCAGCGCTACTGCCCGGCGTCGCGCTCGTGGTCGGTGATCGGGCCGTGCCCGCTGCGCTGCCGCTTCTCCGCCGCGGCGGCCCTGGGGCCGGACGTCTACGTGGTGGGCGGCGAGGGCAGCCGCGAGGTGCGGCGCTTCGACTGCGCGGCCCACCGCTGGTGGCGTGCCGCCCCCATGGCGAGCGCTCGCACCAGCCCCGCGGCCGTGGCCGCCGCGGGGCGCGTGTACGTGGCGGGAGGATACAATGGCACCAGCCGCAGCGCCGACATGGAGTGCTACTGCCCGCGGGGCGACACGTGGGCACCCGCGGGCGGCACGCCGGGCCTCTGCGTCACGGCCCTGGTGTGCGTGCCGGCCGGCGGCACTTGACGGACGAGGAGGAGGGTGAGGAGGCCGCGATGAGAACCTAGGTCAGCCAAGTCGGTCGCGGTCGATTCGCCACCGGAATGAAGGCCTAGCCCTAAGCAGCTAAGGAACTCGCTCACGACCGCACGATGTAGCAAGCCACCCCGGCGCCTGCTCGCGAGCCAATTTCATCGCTCCGTCTCGTCGGTGGACGTCGTCGAAATAAAATTACTTCCGCGTTTCATTCAAGAACAGATTCTCTACTTTTTTTTAAACATACGCGGATAAAAAAAACTAAATCATTTATTCGCACACACAGGATACGATGCGTGTGTCGTGTGCGTGGGAATTTTTTTAATCGCCGAATCGGTGCATTGTTACATGCCACGTGTGTGCAACAGGTTTAACAATCTTCTTTGGTTCTTTCGGTAAAGTCACGTAGAATGATAATAAAATAATAAATTGATAAAATAAAATAACACAATAATATTCTCACGACGTTTCGGCCACAACACAAGCGGCCTTCATCAGGTGAAGGGGGCGAGACTGTCTGGTAGGACAGCGCTGGAGTGAGACAGTCTCGCCCCCTTCACCTGATGAAGGCCGCTTGTGTTGTGGCCGAAACATCGTGAGAATATTATTGTGTTATTTTATTTTATCAATTTATTATTTTATTATCATTCTACGTGACTTTACTGAAAGAACCAAAGAAGATGAATCATTGCAGTCACGAAAGCTTTAAATCGAGGTTTAACAATGCATCCAATCATCAATTATTGCACTCATGATGCACGCACCCAATCACTCGGGCGGCAGGTTGGCAGTGCCTCACAGCCAAAAGAACCTGGGTTCCATTCCCGAATTAAATGCCTTTTGTCGTGGAGTTTATATTTACTCCCCCTGATCTGCATGGGTTTCCTCCGGGTTTTCAAGTGCCTGCCCATAGGTAAAAAAACAACTAAATTTAACATCCCAATGCTCAAAATGTACCTGCAAATTACTTTATTGGTATTACGCTCATCAACATCATCCCCTACTGCGAAAACTTGGCAGGCTCCTTCAAGAAAACGAGTCTTGAGACTCACCGATATTTTCCTGGGTAAGCGACCATAATTATAACAATACGCCTACAAATGTTTTGTGATTTATGAAAATGACATCCTGACGTTACTTTTAAGCTAATTGAGCAAACAGAACTATATAAATTTTGATTTAAAGCTTTCGTGACTGCAGTAATTCATATTCTTAGTTTTTTCGGTAAAGACACGTTGAAGGGAAACAACAAAATAATAAAAAATATATAAAACAATAAAAAAATTCTCACGACGTTTCGACCATAACTCAAACACCTGAAGACGACCGTTTGAGTTATGGTCGAAACGTCGTGAGAATTTTGTATTGTTTTATATATATTTTATTATTTTGTTGTTTCCCTTCAACGTGACTTTACCGAAAAAACTAAGAATAAGAACTATATAATTTGAAAAACAATATGAAGGCATATTCTTTGGGTCTTTCGGTAAAGTCACGTAGATAGGTTCAAAGAAAATAACAAAAAAAACTACGTTTCGATCGCAACACAAGCGGTCGTCTTCAGGTAAAGGGGGGGGGGGGGGGGGGGGGGGGGCTGAAGACGACCCCGCTTGTGTTGCGATCGAAACGTCGTAGTTTTGTTATTTTCTTTGAACCTATCTACGTGACTTTACCGAAAGACCCAAAGAATATGAATTCCTGCAGTCACAAAAGCTTTAAGTCAATATGAAGACGGTTTCATTGAGACAAGAATTACTTTCTTGAACCAAATTGACTGTGAAAATCCTTTTGTTTGGAATTACCACGGAAATAGAAATAAAACATGCCGGAAAGTGTTCTCATGGATTTCTACTGTTTGTAAGGAATAAAAATGTGCACGGTTGGTATAAATGTTCCTGGTTATTCTTACATTGGTGTTATCGATTGAGCTGGTGTGGTTGAACAGATCCCAGTCATTTGAAATAACTACGAATAATGTATAAATGATATTTGTTCATTGGTAACTATGACAAACCGTGACTAAGTTGCAAGATATGTTAATTGGCGCACGCTGATTTAACAAACGAAATTGCAGTTACATTTTTATTTAAAGCTTTCGTGACTGCAGGGATTCATATTCTTGGTTCTTTCGGAAAAGTCACGTAGAAGGGAAACAATAAAATAATAAAAATATAAAACAATAAAATTATTACGACGTTTCGACTGCAACACAAGCAATCATCATCAGGTGTGAAAACCACAGCAAGAAAATTTGAAAAAAGTGGCGTTTTTTTTAACGTTAGCACCACGGAGAGCGATTTGGCAGTTATTCAGATGGACGAGTCCATCTATTTTGATTTAAAGCTTTCGTGACTGCAGGGATTCATATTTTTGGTTCTTTCGGTAAAGTCACATAGAAGGGAAACATTAAAAAATATATATTTTTATTATTTTATTGTTTCCCTTCTATGTGACTTTACCGAAAGAACCAAGAATACGTAGAAGGGAAACAAAATAATAAAAAATATATATATATTTTTATTATTTTATTGTTTCCCTTGTACATGACTACCGAAAGAACTAAGAATATGAGTCCATCTATGTTAAATTATTTTCATATCCACTTTCCCGCGCGCCCAAGCACTTTCTTATCCCCCGCTATAGGGTTGTTGATTTTTCACCACTGGCTCAGGGCTCTAAACAAGAAATTTAACAACCACAGGAAATCATTTTGACTTTGAGATAGAAGGGAAACAATAAAATAATACAAATATAAAACAATTAAATTCTCACGACGTTTCGACTGCAACACAAGCAATCATCATCAGGTGTGAGAATTTTATTGTTTAATATTTTTATGATTTTATTGTTTCCCTTCTACGTGACTACCGAAAGAACCAAGAATATGAAATTGCAGTTATACATTTACGAGGCATTTAGCAAGTTAGCCTGACACTCAGCACAACTGTGCTATGCCATTGGCACGAATTAGGCAACTCTTGTTACCTGCATGACATTGTGTTTTACACGCTTTTTTCCCCCCTTCGTATTTTAAAACAAAAGCTGAGGATTCGTCTTATCCAGGGGTCGGCGCAACCTGCGTCTCCAAAGTCGGTACGCTGCTCTTTACGTACTGCTTCGTGACGTGATGTACGTGCGTACATACGTATTCACGTGCACTGTGGCTCTTGAAATATCGAGTTTTGTATTGAATTCGAAAAAAATCACTCTTGTCCTTTTGGTTTCCGACCTCTGGTCAAATCCGTTAGAATTGTCTCCCAGAAGGTGCGGTTTAATGCAGTTGAGAAATGCCTGCCCGGAAGACGGTTCTCCACAGCGATTCGTGACCATCAATAAGGCACGAAGACAATCGCCAGCCGTCCATAATCATCCTCCACAAGACACCTCTGTTCATGTTAAAGCAACACGTTCACAATCATCTGCTCAACGAAGTCGAATTCTCCCGATACTTTTTTCCTGCAAATTGACCTCAAAGTTTAGGGTGCATCTTCATTCCTAGGGTGTAACTTAATAATTGGTGTGGTGGTCACTCTGTACACACGCTACACAGTACCTACCAGAACGGGGTCATTGGTATCCCTGACCAAGACCCCGCCTGAGGGGTGGAGGCTGTGAAGTGTGTGTGTGTGGGATCCCCCAGAACACTGGTCCTAGACAGAAAGTGGGATCGAACAAACAGATTGTTTGGGCTTCCTGTGGCCAGCACCTCCCCTCGGCGGGGGAATCGTATAAAAGGCGGGCTCCTGAGAGCAGAGGGAGTTGGTCTCAAGCTGAAGCCGGGGAGCCGCCTGAAGAAGAGGAGACCCTGGACCCCAAGCCCCGACGTCCTTCTGAGGGCCGGGGCTCAGTGCGGTGCCAGTGGTCTGTAGGCTAGGACCCTGAGGTTCCCTCAGCCCGACGTCCTTCTGAGGGCCGGGGCTCAGTGCGGTGCCAGTGGTCTGTAGGCTAGGACCCTGAGGTTCCCTCAGCCGGGTCTGGACTGGCCAGCGGTCAGAGACCCACCGGTGCCAGCGGTGGGTCAGCCTCCCCTAGGTCCAGCTAGCCGGAGGGCTATAGCAGTAGTCGGGCCAACGGCTAGGGTACGATAGCCCAGAGGCTGTACCTCCTCAGGTTGTGGGTAGAAGGGGCCATTACCCCTTCGTGTTAGGGACCTAGTGAGTTGTATTAAGATATAAATAAAAGTATTGCTTACTACTACGACTCCATCTCCATCTACTACTACGACTCAATCTCCATCTACTACTACTACATTGGTAATAGAAAACTGATCGCATTAATAAAAAAAGTCAATATATAGTCAATAATAATGTATGTTACGCTGTCATCTGCTTTATATGCCATATATTATACACACATTTTAAGTATTCATTCCCGAGCGAGACCAGATTAAAAGAAATAAAATAAAAATTAACTTGTATAATGGGTTTTCTGTGGTGAGCTGGTCAATGTTATCCATCTCAGGAAACCTGAAAGTGAAGTTGAATCATTTGGTGGGAGCCCACGATTTAGGGCCCCCCATTTAACCAGTCACAAAGCACCAGGCTCAAACCAACCGCAAGACAAACACGAACAAAAAGTGAAGAAAGAATTTATTACAAAAGGAGACATGTTACATTTTAAGGTGTCTCTGTAAATCAGAACAAATGGTCTCTACCAATTGAATATGAATCTTTACACACTGCGAGAAGCGCAGTGTACAAAATATATTGAAGAATGTAACCAGTACTAGCACCGCTTGTTCAAGAGTGTAGCAAACATTTTCATTTTATGAACCAAATTACAATTTCACTGCCAGGTCTGAATGTTATACGTCTATGACTTATTCTAGAAGCTCACTTCTCAAAAGAAAGTTGAACGGGAATCGTGTAATGCAGGCATACATGTGCGAATTACATCGCAGGTTTTTCCAATTTCGTCTCACAACTTCGAAATAATGATGAGGCTGCCGCGGTCACAACGTTAGGTCCTCACCTTGCTGTATATGCAGGGGGTCGGCATCCGGCGACTCCGTAACCGCACACGGCCCTTTAAGGACCGCCGCTTTGCGACGTTATTCACGTGCATTGCGGCTCGGTTTTTTTTTACCGAATTCTAAAAAAAAAAAAGGCTCTTCCTGTTATTTTGGTTGCCGACCCCCGTGTACGTGGTACCAACGTTTTGATATTTTCATGCAATATTCGGCTCGATATTGTCCCCTTCATTGCACCAATTGTTATTTTTTGGGGACAACTCACCCGACATCGACCCGAAAGATCACGCACGCTGTGCTCGCTTTGCCATCTCTTCCTGCGAAAGGCTCGCGGCAGAATTCGTGCTTGTCCGTTTTTGCAGAGCAATAACAAAGCAGAGCCATAATGTTCTAAGCAAGTCAAAATATCTCCCTGCTCAAACGCGCATTGGGGCAGTTTTCACCGATGCAAGCAGCACCCAAGCTCGGGGTGAAAATTCCACATGCTGAAGGCAAGAGGCAATCTCTCAATAAAATTCCCACTGTTGACTTTCCAGGAATTAACATTTAATTTAGATAATCCTCTTGAGAGATGAGCGGCTTAAGCGACTGGGCGGCCAGGAATTGATACTCCTTCAGAATATGAAGTGCGCGAACCACCGTGCCACAAAGCCAGACCACCTCCCCCCTCCTTCCGCCAACATTCCCATCACACACGAACAGCAGCAAGCGGTTTCAACACCTACCACTTGCCATGCCCAACAGCATCCTGTTCCATAAAAACTGAGTGAAGCGGATTTCTTTAGGCCACAACAGCGCGCAATGGCCCCTACACTTGCAGGTGACACTGCAGGGTACTTAAAGGACACTATGCAGCAGATACTGCACTTTGGCAATTCCCTGCAGGACATAACTCGGGAAACCAGAATGAGAATCAAACTGGCGACTCTGCATGCTAAGTGAAGAGTGGTGAGCACTCCGCAACCTCCGATTAGCACGGCGGGCTAAGTACGGTGCGAAAGAAGTTCAACATACATAAGGACAAGTTCAGGGCATCCATGTCTCGGTAGACACAACCCCAAAAAAATCCGCGGTTATATCACAGATGTGACGCTCGGGTCTACGTCACGGGATGCCTGAGACGAGTCATCATCAGCTTCATTATTGACAAAACCGGACTACAAGCGACTCTCTCAGGCGAACCGCCATAGCGCCCTCTAATGACGGTACAGCAACACTGGGGTCTCAACCCGTGTGAGCTGGAAGCCCCATCGTGAATCTCTGGCCAAAGTCACAATCCACAGCAAATGCTGGGAGGTAATCCATGCTTGCCTATGGAGCTCAGCACATATGGGGGGGGGGGGGGATTTCAGATCGACAACAGTGGCACTGCACCATAGAGCCTGGAGCTGAGATGTCACTGATTATTCTGCAGGTTTTTGTTATTTGCAGATGCAAATTTCTACTTGAACCGATACATTGTTTGGGTTGCGTCTTGCTCAACAACACACTCCACTTACCGATCCTTGCTACAGGCAAACTTTATTGTTCCGAAATTTTTCATTACACGTGTCAACACCGAAGGTACTTGGACTTGTAGTAGAGCGCCTTAACTCACGGTTTGCAGTGTTCCTCATTGACATACATGAGTAATCGCACAGGATTTGGAAATGAAGTTTGCCTGTTTTAATCTTCTGTGGTCTGATCCAGCATTAGGTCTCTGGCCTCACCTTCCCTAAACTCCGAGCACGAATTCTCTTTATTAGACCCACGACACTACTGCCTTTCCACTTCCGAGTAGTCAACCTTCACTAAAGTTGGTGGTCGCCCCTTTCCCTGTATGCTGTCGTCGTGAAACTTCAAGCACCTGTTCAAAGGCCTCACAGTCCTCACATCTCTTTCACACGCTTCTTCTCCGCCGCAGCGCACATTCTTCTGGAAGACTCTTCGGAATAGTTTGTCGCGTGTGCCCAAGCGTTGCGGCAATTGATGCGCTGCTTTAACAAATTAAAAGTAATAACGTGCCCTCAATGCAGCAGCTTGTGCACTGCAGTTTGCAAAGGCAACCTTTTTGTGAATGCGGAATTTGTCAATGTCAACTATAAAGCAGGTGGCAAGCCGGAGAAAATATTAACGAGTGAAAATATCTCTACACTCAAGAGAGGCATTAGACAGTGCTCAGCCACTCCACTGGTTGCCTCGAGCCATGAGTATATTAGCAATGGTAAAAAGCCACAAAAAAAACTGTGCTCACAACTTAAGGATTTAGGAATTTACATCGGCCACTTAAATGTCTCGAGGCGCCTTGCATCACATCGCGATCATTCCAATGTACAAATGTAGCTCCTCTCTCGATGAATGCGCCGAGGGGACCCCCCGATGAAAACTGTCCCTGTGCGGCACAAGGTGAAGCAGTATCTTCTCTTACCTTAAAATAATATAATAAACGCCTTATCGAAGGCGCTTTACACAGAATTAACAATGGTACATATGAATGTGATGGTGGAGACGAGGTGAATGAAACAGATGAGAGGAAGCAATGGGGGGCAAATCTGTGACGTGTGAATTCGGTGAAAGCTAAATCGATGACAGTAAATGATGATGAATGGATTGAATGAACGGGGAAGAGTGATAGCCGTATAATGAGAATATGAAGAGGGGACAGTAACGGTGGTGGTTATGAGGGGGAGATTAAGGGGGTCGTGGGGTGAGCTAGGGAACAAGAAATACGTTTTTAGTGAGGAGGGTAAACTTAGTGAGTGACGTTGCCTGGTTAATGTGGAGCGGGGAAGTTTGTTCCAGTTAAGGGTGGCAAGGAGAGAAAAATAGCGAAAGCGAGGATTAAGCGCAAGGAGGAGGAACAGAGACCGACAGCAAAGATTGAGCACAGGCCTGCAAACGGGCATAGCCTGTCAGTAGGGGGCGATTTTCTTATTTGGTTGCTACAATTCAGTAAAATGCAAGCAAATTTGTTTTAAGCTTGGCAAATTTGTGCCATGACAATGGCACGCAAGGCCTACCCCCCCCCTATTTTTTTTTAAAACGCCACGGGATCTAATGTTCCCTGCGCTACAGACGGCTATTATGAACCCCAAAACTCCGCAACAAGCGGATAAATGCACTACGGCTCTGTCGCATTTGACCGGGTTTATGAGGTACAACTTAGCCTTAATAAAAACAAACTTGAGACAGGCGTCGGGTTTTGTGCCTTTGGAAATGAACCATCGCAGCATTTTATTGCAACACGCTACGGTTGTTCCGTACGCACCGATGACTCGTCACATCCCGGGCCACCCGGAGTAAACCCTCGCCAGCTGCACCGGCACACCTCCTTGCCACTCACAGAGCACTCGTGCTACATCTTTCTGCGTGAGTCGCACGTGAGCTTACACAGTCCCACGTTACACACACACACAAGAGGCCGCATGTAATGATAACAAAATAAAACAAAGCTGGCACAATGCACTCGTTGTGCCGTGGAAACGCGAAATAAATTCAACTTCGGAAGTTCGGTCCCTGGATTGAGGGGTAACGCAACGTGTAAAAATAATCACCGTTGCACTTCGTCCAGCCTCGGAAGCTGCGAGTGCGGTTTAATCCGTGTTGCCCGAGATCAGTGTTCACTCTCTGAAGCTTTTCTTATTTTCTTCCCTCCCTGCTGCAAAATACAAACAAAAAGTTCAAGGATCGAAAGTGTCGACCACAGGTCAATGCATGCAGGCATGGTCCCTCTCCATTCATCGACTCTCTCGTGTTTGTCAATTACATTTAGCAATAACCGAGACAGAGATCTCCCATATAGCCTCAACAAACTTTTGGTGCAAGTGCTGTTAGCCAGTAGCACCCATGAATGCGAGCATGGCACAAGAGGGGGTGGTGGGGGTGGCCAGCACCACGCTCGAGCACCTTTTTTTTCCTAGCGGCGATGTTTACACATCGCACCAGGTACTCATTTGAGGCAGTCGACCCACGGGAGGTCCAGGACCGGTTCAGATGTTCAGTCATTGTTATTGGCCGTGAATGGGAATCAAACTCGGGTCACTGGGTTCAGAGCGAAGCGCTTACCACTCTCCACACATATATAATAAAGGCCACGTGCACACATACAAACACATTGCTTACGGCTCACCAGTATTTTGAGGGCCAACATTTTTCCACTGGAAATTGTGTAACAAGAGACGCAAGTTTGACGCAAAACACATGACAGAATCGATCGAGTTGTTCTCTTGCCGAGCGCTATTTATAAACCGTCAACTTGCTCCCCGTGTTTTACCTGGTGTTTCACGAGCTCTGCTTGTAGCGTTTTCACCTTCGACCTCTCCTGTTCCAGAGCAGTGTGGAGGTCGGAGACCTGTGTCGCAAAACAAGCCGTTGGTTTCTGCTCTGTCTACCAATTGCAACTCGGTTGCACTGTGGGGCTTTCAGCCCGGAGCACAGAAAAAAAAAGTTTTTTTCTTTCTGGGGCTTCCTACGCACAAACCCGAGCCACATTAGGGATGATTTTAAGCTATAATTTCAGATCTTGTTTGGATTTTCAGATGTTTTTGTGCCAACAATAGAGATGTCACCTGGTGCCACGTGACTCCACTTTTGCAACAATAGTCTGAGAGTGACTGGCCACATGATTCAAGCAGGATGACAAAATGACCTTACCAAGTACCCGTCCACCATTCAGGTGTGACAGAAAGAGTAACCGCTCATCATCGGGAGCTGAAATTTCCTGGGAACGTGTTTAACAAACACCCATTAAATGAATCACCCCCTTTATGAGTCTACGACTTGTTATGCATCACCGTCTTGTTGTGCATGTGGAATCTCTAGTGGCTGCAGAATACATACAACATATAGAGATTGTAATACATACGCGATTCCATGTATCGTGAGAGTAGGAATATTTAATCGACGAATCAATGCCTTGTTACGTGCCTAGCGTTTATCCACGTCACAATGACGGACACCGACGAGACCGTGACACCATTTCTGTAAATGTCAACACAGTGGTGCAACGAGGGACCGCTCAAGATGATTCCCACCACTGCTCATGTCAGGTCGTAAGACACATCGTATGTTGAACTTCTTTCGCACCGTACGTAGCCAACCGTCAGGGTTGATATCGAACCTACAACCTCCTGTAAACCAGGCAAGGTAGTAAAAACATCTCGCCATCGAGGCGCCCCATGTTGGTGTGAAGCCGGTTTCAGAGGGGAGCGACGGTGACCTCGCGTGGTGCTGTAACACGTGGACTGAGAGCCGAGAGCCGAGCGCGGCACTAATACGTGCCGATCTGGAGTTGAATAAAAAGGGAATCTATCCTGGAGAAGTCTTCGCCGTCCATCGCTGTGTGTACGTCAACCTCCCCCCCCCCCCACCGAAGTTCAATCATAAACTCATTCTGAAATAATCAATGTGCAGCCACCGAGCTGGAAAATGAACGCTCGACGGTTCGGGAAGTGCGACAATAACCCACGCGGCCAGCGCCACCGTCTGACCTGCTGTGTGAGCTCGTTCTTTATGTTGGTCAGCTCCTCGACTTGCAGGAGCACGTCAGACTTCTCCTTCACTGCGACGACAACAGCAACGACAAGGGGGCGAGGAGGGGTGCGCGCTGCGACCCTCGATCTGCGCTTGCCGCAAAGCGCGGCGCGCGCAACGCGGGATTTCTCCCCGGCAAGCCTCTCAATGCCGGGAGGAACACTTCACGAGCGAGGACAACAACAACAACAACAAGATCCGGCAAGCGGAGCGCGGCTGCAAAAAAAAAGGGGCAGCACGGAGATCTCCAGTTGTACACGTCGGCTTTTGCGATCGATATTATCCATAACAGAGGTTTTTGGGTTAGATCGAGGAAATAAAAATGCGTCGTTGAACCCTCCACCACCCGACACACAGCTAATTATGAAGGTTTGTCACGTAAAACCTTACGACTTGGCTGTGTCGGGTGATGGCGGGTTTAACGGCACATTTTTATCTTCTTTGGTTCTTTCGGTAAAGTCACGTAGAATGAGAATAAAATAATAGGCCGCCTGTGTTGTGGCCGAAACGTCGTGAGAATATTATTGTGTTATTTTATTTTATCAATTTGTTATTTTATTCTCATTCTACGTGACTTTACCGAAAGAACCAAAGAAGATGAATCCTTGCAGTCACGAAAGCTTTAAATCGAAAGACACATTTTTATTTACGAGAGCCAACCCAAAAACCTCCATTACGGAGATTCCCCTTTGATAATTCTCAGTGGAGACGGCGACAAGGATTGTCGACCCTTCTACCCTGCGTCATCTCAGCGGTGAAGACGCGGAAAAAAAAAAAACCTCAGCTCGCTATTCACTCGCACCCCCTTGCTGCCAATCTGCATCCCAGTGTGAGCGTGCTACAAGACGTCGGCGTGGTGATGAACGCAGTCTTACTTTCTCCCTGCTGCAGCATGTACAACAGCTGTGCGTTCCGCTTCTTCACCTCCTTGAACTTCACCTGCAAAGGAGCAGAGGGTAAAAAGAAAAAAAACAGATTTTAAATACGGTAAGCCCTCGCCTAACGCGTGTGCACCCGGTGCGTTTTCGCTGAAACGCGATTATTATATTGGGCAAAACACTTTCGCGCAACGCGGAGCACGCGCCATTGTGACGCAGTTTCGGAGCGATCGATGGCAAACTACTTTCTTGAGCTGCGCGGCTGAGTGGCATGGGAATTATGGGTATGCGCGTGGAATGATACAGTACACGGTGGGGTGCACTCATCTACGGTTATTTGTCCCACCGTGGGATGGCTGCAGGCTGATTTTATAGTGCAAATGTGATTAATATTTTCAACATTAATTCATGCACTGTAACGTGTGTGTGTGTGTATATATACACACACACACACGTTACACACACAGCAATTCTACGCGGCACTTTTCAGGAACGCATGTACTGCGCTGAAAGCGGAATTACCGTACACAACAAACAAACATTGTTTACCCTCATTAATACCAATGCTCCCAAAAACCCCACAAGGCCACCCCTCGTGACACATTCATTGACAGCCGGCGGTGGTAGCGGTGGTGGCGGTGGTGCGCGAATTCACCTCCCACTCAGCCGTGACCACCTTCAGGTCGGCGATCTCCTTGTCCTTCTTCGCCAGGCCGTCCTTGAGCTGCTCGATCCTCACCGTCTCCAGGACGGGGCTCGGAAGCCGCGCTGCGCGCTCCGCCGGGGGCTCCTCCGCGGCGCCCCGGCACGACAGCACCGCCGCCGCCGCGGAACCAGAGCTACCCCGGGAGCCACCCCGACTCCTGTCAGTGGCCCTGCTGCTGTTGGTGCTGCTGCCGCCGCCGCTCGGTGCGTCTGGGAGGGCAACACCACGTAGGAGATTGGGGGAAAGGAGGGGAGGACACAGCGGCACGATATCAAGACTCTGTAGTTTTATTTTACGTACTTGTTCCGTCACTGTATGCACCTGCCCACCCACTCGGCAACTTACCCATTCACTTACTCGCCCGCCCACCCACTCATTCACTCACCCACCCACCCGCTCACTTACCCACTCACCCACTCACTTACTTTGAAGGGGGATCAGTAGGTATACAACCAATATGTGGGAGGGGGTTTACTCTTAACGACCCCGATGCACGTGACCGAGGAGAGCCACAGCCCATGCAGCATCTCCTGCTCCGAGCCATGCACCGTGGAGGACCTCGCCAGGGTTACAAACCGGCCCATATCAACAACATCATCATCATCACCACCACCACCACCACCACGTGCCCCCGACTCCCACGAATGTGCATGGCGGGACACGAGCAGAGCCATCGGTGTGCCCGTTACCTGCGGCGCCGTCCGTCTGGGCAGCGTGTGCCGGCGTCGGTTCGGGAGGCAGCAGCACCTCCACCATCCTGGGGGCGACGTCGCGGTCACGCGCCTCCTGGAGGAGCTTGCGACGCTCCTTCCGATTGGGGACCCGAGGGACTCCGTCTGGATCGACGACCCCTTGCTGCGGGCGACCAATCACGCACGGGGGAAGATCACGATCAAGAGGTCATGGGGTGCCGCAGTGGTGAGATGTTAACTCCCCCGCCTGGTATGCAGGAGGTCGTGGATTCGATCCCGACCCCCAACGCCTGTATATGTTTGGAGATTGCATGTTCTCCTTATGGTCGAATGGATGTTTCCCTGTGTCCTCCGGTTTTTCCCTCCACATTTAGAATTAACATGCATTTAGAGTATTTGGTTGCTATAAATTTCCACACAATAATAAGCCACTTCGTTGAGCTATCATTTGTGGCCAGGTCGCATCTGAAAAAGAGCCATGAAGCTCAGGGGGTCTTACCTGGTAAAATAAAAATAGTAAATTTATCGTGGCCAATAACACGGATAGCACCACGAAGCCGCACCATAATTTCCCCTCTGATCATCAGATCCCAGGATTACATTGTGAGACAAATAGAGGAACACACGGATTTGCTAACAAGTGCACATTATAGACATTAGATTAATTTTAGTAGCAACTGCATACTTTATCCTTTACGAAAAGGTCTGACTTATCAATATAAATGTGGTGTTTAAAGGCAGCGAGCCAACCAGGACATGCTGTGGGCAGATCACTCAACTCAGGATCGCAAGAGTTTGAATTTCAGTTGGTGGGCTACTCGGCAAATCATGCCACCAGGCGCAGGGATCCACCCCTTATGCGCCCACAGTGGACATCGCACGGTACCCCAGTTGGGGAATGTGGAATTTACGCTCGCAGTTCGGGGGCCGCCAACGGAAATGAGCAATGCCCACCACTCGTTTGAGCAGAGACACACTTTACTGACTGGAAGCAGCAGCTAAAGATGTCCATGTTGTGCCTTTCAGAAATCATAACTGCAAGTGCCCATAGCTTCTAATTTCCATTCACATTCGCAACAATAAGGATCTTCATATGAAACCAGGAAAGAAGCCGACCAAATGTTACCATGTGTTACGCTCTCAAACACAATACGTGCAGGGTCATTTCTAAAATGATAGCGTATGCCTTGGGTCACAATCAGATCCACTGGTTCAACTGAGACACATTTAGGATTCGAATCATTCAGTGGAAGATGCCCAAGACACAAAAACATCACGCCGTACAATATAGAGTCGTGGCTCGGCTCGAGCCTGAGGAGCTCAGCCATGGCCTGGTTCAGGCTCCACCCAGGAATATCCTGAGCATGGCTGGGACCATGCTTAGACCTGGCTCAAGTTAAACATGGCTTTGAGCCAGCTCACTTGAGGCAGAGCCAAGCCTGAGCCAAGCCGTGACTAAGAACATGGGCCCTTCATTGAGTCATAAATCAAATGTCTTTTTGCCACCGAGGTACATTTATAATCCGCAGTGGCTGCAAGGTTTCCACGAATAAGTTATGACCAGCATACATCAGGCATGGGAGCTGCCACAGTGATGTAATAGTTAGAACACCGGACTCGCAATCCAGAGGTCACCGGTTCGATTCCATCTCCCGGCGAGGCAATTGAAACAATGGGGGCGCGTGTTTCTTAAAACCCCTCACACGTGCACCCAGCACTATGAATGAGTTCACCACAGTTAGTCGATTGGCAGCTCACGTGTGGTGGGGTAAAGTGTGGGTACCCCCAACACTTCAAATACCCTCTAAAGGGGCTCTATAGAACTCACTCTCCAATGGAAGCCCTTCCACCAGTGCTGGCAGTGAACTATTTCAGGATTGCACATTTACATCAGAAATTACTGACCATTGTAGGCACGAAATGAATCATTACATCTTCGCAAAGCAAAGCTTATATCCCAAGCTGGAGTGTGCAGCTGTATTGTTCAAGCTAATCAGCGGGTATGTTGGTCGTATTTAATAGGCATCTTCCACTCTAAAAGGCTGCTCCCTGCTGGGTTTTTGAGGCGGGCGACTACAGGTTAGTCCGATGCAGCTGCAAATTTATCTTCTTTGTTATGCAACGCGAAATACACCCCCCGCTAGCCTGAAACCTCAGTGGCAGAGCGAGGGGCACGCAATCGGTAGGTTGTGAGTTGAATCCTGGTTGGGAGTTGACTCAGCCCATCCTCATCATCCATCTGAGGTCAAGAAAAAAACACTACCTCGTCTGGTACGCAGGAGGTCGTGGGTTCGATTCCGACCATGACGCCGCCTTCTGTATATTTATAGAATGCATGTCTTTCTCCCCGTGGTCGCGTGGATTTTTTCTGGCTCCTCCACTTTTTTTCCCTCCACATTTACAAACATGCGCTTATGTGTATTTGGCTGCTGTATACTTCCAACATGGTAAGCCACTTCGTTGAGCTATCATTTTTGTCCAGGTCGCTTTTGAAAAAGAGCTGTGTAGCTCAGTGGGCCTCACCTGGTAAAATAAAAAGTTTAGTATATGAATGTGGAATTTAAACCGCTGCCTCAGGGGTGTACACAGGAAGCACCGCACCAACGCTCATTTGAGCCGGAAATAATAAGACTACTGAGACCTAACCATATACTGAATTGCAGGCGCGGGAAGGGATGCAGATGTAGCCAGCCTGCGTGGAACCCCATCTTACATTTCTAACACTTTGTAAGGCTCAGCAGTGTCTTGAACGTGGCCGATGATCATCTACAGGCCTAATTTGCACTTCAAGTTGAATATACCAGCAAATTATAATATAATGGGTACTGTGAACAGTCAACACTGACATTAAAGGCCGGCTCCTGCCATGTGAATTTGGAATTTCCACCACTGGCTCAGGGCCACCAATGGAGGCGTCACCTTATTTCTCTGTTTAGCAGGGAGAGCACTTGACTGGGCTTGAATAAGATGTAATGTAAGGGTCTTTAACGTCTAGTTTACAGCAGAATGCACACATTGGCAATTTCCCACACAGTTTAAAGGGAGACACACAACAAAAAGCAAGAAACTTGTATCGATACAAACGTCAGTTAGGTTGGGGCGGTGATATGGCTGAGCGAAAGGGCTTTTGCCAATTGTTTCAGAGGTTCGAAGTTGGAGCCCATTGGCAGCCCTGGTTAACACTGCGGCTGTATGAATGCAGTGTGGACATTTAAAGACCTTGTGACTTTCGTAAAAAAAAAATTAGGCTGTGCGTGCCGGTATCATGGGCGACATTTTCTACGAATGAAATATTACCCACAAGTTACTGAATCAGGAAAAAGCATAGCAACATATGCCCCCACTGAGAAACTACAACACCCCGTGTCTGTTAATGTTAGTGCCTTTCTTCATGATAGCCACACGCTGTAAGAATGGTGCCAATGCCAAATCTATTCACGATTTTATTTGATTGCAGTTGCGCATCCTGCGCTGTCTAGCGTGTCGAAAGCTTTGCTTATAAATAAAAAAGGCTTTGCTGTGACATTCAGGCGTACTTTACGGGCAACTTATCTTGTGTCACTTGCAAACACACAGTATGCACAATCCTAAAATGCAAGTTCAAAAATATATATTTTGAGATACCTTTATTCCTGGTGTGTTCTGTACTTTGAAAATCTTACTACAGTGATGTCACGAGAAGATTCATTACCGAATGTTTCATTATTATGTTCTCTCAATAGTGAACATTCATCTGAATGCCAGGTGGCACAAGACGCACAGCCTGGGTAGAGGACTTATGTACAAGATAAGATTTGTTTGTTTTTTGGCCCTGGTCTTCAGAATTGACCCAGAATCGAGTGCGCGTCCCACCTGGTTACCACCACCCACATGATAAACCTTTACTCGGCCCAGGCAACCAGTCCAAAGGACAGGTAATTCCACTTTATCCACCCAGCCACCTCCCAAAGAGGCAGCTTTGATAACGTAGTGACGGGTGTAACCAGCTGCTATAAATTCTCACTATTTTTATGAACGATTGAGAATATCGCTTACAGGAGTACACCTTACCGAGTCTCAAAGACTTTCTTTCAGGCGGGTCCTGCTCAGTTTTGCAGTAGGTGACAATATTGTTTCGTATTTTCCCAAACGAGCAGTTTGCCTGATTCGCGGATCATTGTTCAAATTTGGACCATGCCGTCGGCAAACATTGCCTACGCTTCCTCGAATATCGTCTCAGAATCTTTCATGGCCACTGTCAAGCGGAAGTCGCACATTTTTACAATACACCCAACAGTATTAACCAGGGCGGCCATGGAGCTCGAACCGTGAACCTCTGAAACAAGCAGCGAACGCAGTTATGACTCGTCCATGCCTGGAGAGTTGTAGAGGTGGCTCAGAGAACTACAGGGCCAGCACGATATACGCTGGGGTTGAATTCAGGCAGAAATCCGTGATTAAACCAGATTCTCCAGTGCAGCAAGTTAATGGTCTCAGCCCGATCACCAATGACTGCACATTTTACTTTTCATTTCACAAACATTTTACTCATTTAAAACTTTAACATTCACTGATTCGCTTATTCCAGCTGAGGACTAAACACTTCCATTTGCCATATGAGGAACTCTATGCAGGGCACACAAGTGGCGTGGCCGTGGTGTGAAAAAAAGAGGGCACTTAAGTGACTTTGGAAATCCAGTAATGTCACCTTCCAGGACCATTCTGCCACAAAGAAATACACTCCACGCTGTACAGTGGTTATCGACAGCACACGCAGAAACACAACGAGGGGGAAAAAGCTACACACACACACATTTTTTTTAAATAAATATTTTTCACAGCACGTACCGTCTTTTGAAACTCGTACTCCATCTTGCTGAGACGGAGAGCTCTTTGAAGGTCGGCATCAAAAGTTTCCAACGTGTCCTGTGAATAGTGCACAACACGACATTAAATTAAGGAATCATTTAATTAAGCCCCAGCACCGTCAGGCTGACGAGTGTGGTAAGAAGTTATTTTGTTTATTTTGGGATGTTATGAAACAAAAACATAGGCCCCATAACAATGCTTTAGGTGACAGAAAAACCGGATGGGGATCAACTCGGGGGGGGGGGGGGGGGGGAATTGAACCGCAGGTGTGGGGGGGTATACAGCAATCGTCTCTTTCACACAAAGGAATCACATCAGGGAGCCGCTCTAGGGGAGGAAAGGGATTATAAGGGAAGAACGGGGGTGGGGGAGACATTCAACTAATGGAGTGGTAGTCCCAGGCCTGCAGGGGAAACAAGAGCCGGGGTGTGGTGTGAAAGAAGTTTCACATACATACAAATATCCTCATGAAAAACAGTGCCAAGGACCTTACTGCAATGGATCTTACTAGGAATTGCAAACACGGCACCGCAATAATCAATCTACGAGACCTGTACTGAACAATATCAGAACATCGCATGACAGATGCGGTTATTTAAAGAAATATGCCACAGTGCAACTTCTGTCACCAATCTCACACCACAGATCACACGGTAACACCGCTGCCCGCTTCCATCATGCGGTGGCAGAACTTCACAGAATCACTATGAAGCTATTCCTGAAGGCGTCCACTGGTTCAGTCACTCACCAACCAATGGACATTAGCATATTAACATTACTGACCAATTTCCTGTCACAGGAAAGATGTGCCAGTCAAATAAATCTGCAAATGTTTCGCAAACACCATACGAGTATGAATCCGTGTAATAATTGGTCAGTGGCGTAGCGATTAGCGTGCTGCGCAACGAACCTGGCGACCCAAGTTCGATCCCCGATCACGGCCAACACCGGTGACAAATAGCTCAACCGGTCCTGGGTCTTCCCTAGGTCGACTCAGTCTCTCAAGTACCTAGTGCACTGTATAAACATTGCCACTGGTGAGACGAAGGAGGCCAGGCGGGGGTGCTGGTCACCCACCCCCTCGTGTGCCGTACCGGCCTTCATAAGGGGCTTGCTAGCAGCACTTGCCTCAACAGTCTGTTAAGGCTACATGGGGGAGAGCTTTTGTCTTTGATTAGATTCGCAATTCAAGCGCACCAGCTGTCCGCAGGTGCCTTCGTCTGGCACGCCGTCAGCGACCAGACTGCGCTCCCCGTTGGAGCGCTGTTCTCCGTTGGGCTTCTGCGAGTCGAGCTGGGCATGTGGTGACGATGCGTCGCCCTCCACACGGACCGCTGGACGCACGGGCAGCTTCTTAAAGGCCAGGTTCCTCAGCTGTTCGCACAGCGCAGGTCACACGCACACACACGAACGTTGCGGCGGTTGCCCACCCAAGCACTATCCAGACTCAAACCTGCTCTTCTTCCGAGATCTGACAAGATTGGGCACGCTCTCGGTCACGGGTCGGCAACCTGCATCTCCAGAGCCGCATGCGGCTCTTTAAGCATCGTTTTAAAGACAGTCTCGTATTCGCATGTATTGCGGCTCTTCGATGATTTTGTTGTTGTTACCGAATTCGAAAAAAATGCTTGTTATTTCGGTTTCCGACCCCTGCTCTGGGTGATTTGGTAAATTGCATTAACTATGCGCTAATTGTACATATGCACCCTTGCAATGGCTGGGTCACGTTACGGCACTTTATAACATATCATTATTATTAATTGCCTGATGATGCTGGTTGCAAGCACCAGTGAAACGACGTACTCGATTGTAAATGTTGTGGGTTTGCTAAGACACACGGTGTGCTAAAGTAGTAACAAATTGGCACATTCTGTTCACGTGACAACCTTTACTAATTGGCTGTGTCGGTTGGAAGGTGCATGACACATTGACATTTACGAGATCAAAACCATTTTTTTATATATATATCGGTCGCGAAAGCCTACATGTTAAATTAACCGATTATATTACGCCACCATACATTTAAATGTTTGCGCATCTAAAACCAAGAAGTTTACAATGAAATAAAATTAAAAACGCTTCTATGCTGTAGGTTATTTTGGGTGCTGCTCATATTCATTGGGAGGTCTAAACCAGTCGTGGGAATTTCACATTGCCAATACAGGAGCCAATCTCTCCGTAAAAAAACACTGATGATTTACCATAAAGTGGTACGGCATCATTATCACTCATGATCCACCCACTGTTGGATGAAGACCTCAAGTCTCGTATGCAACAGGCCATCGATAAGGTTAAAGGTACAGCCCTGCAATTTATTTCATCTGCCACTACTGGGAGAAGGGTCTCCCCACTGAAGCGAAGTGAGCCAATATAGTATACTCTTCGACGCTGGCTGGACATCTTAAAAAGGGTCATAAGTACGCACACTTTACCCACTCGTATTGCTTGACCCTTTTTTTCAAGCGCCACGCCAGGAAACTGAATCGGGCATTGCGAGTCCACTGTACTCACCATTAAGTAACAACAGCATCCTCCAAAAAGTCAATGCTTTTTTATGAAGGTAAATACAATGTAATACTGTAAACTATTTGAAACGTTTACGTGTTATCGGAAAACAAATGCACCGTGAAATATGCTCAATGCAATGTAAGTACACAACTGAAACAACATACCAAGAGAAAAAAGGGAAGTTGGCTTCGCCAAAGGTGTAGGCTCTGGCACTACTCCTTGCAAATAAAGGGGTTAAGAGTTTAGGGTTTGGGAGTTCGCATTTGGATGTTAAGGTTTATGGGTTAGGCGTTGAGTTTAAGAGGTTCGGGTTGAGTATTTTGATTTCGAGGTTGAGATTGAGTGGTTTTAGGCTTCAGAGTAAGAGTTCTGGGTTAGGTGTAACGGCTTATGGTTAGGATTTCGAGTTCTGTGTCAAGTATAGAGATCATGGTTAAGGTGATGTTTCTGAAAACAAATAAAAACATTTTTATTTTACAATACCAGGTAAGGCCCACTGAGCTGCATAGCTCTTTTCAGAAGCGATCTGGCCACAAATGATAGCTCAAGTTGCTTATCACGTGGAACAAATGGGTTAGGCTTGCAGCTTTAAAGAGTTTCGGCTTAATGGGTTAGGCTTTAGGAGGTTGGGCCTTAGTCTTTAGGGTTGGGTCGAGGGACAGCAGTACTTAAGACCACGAATCGTGCCCCCATCACACCTACAATAGCAGCCTCAACAACACCACCACCACCACCACGCAAACACCGCGTGCAAGGGACCTCGTTGGTCTGCTCGATCATCTTCTCCTTTTTCTTCTTCTTCCTCGCCCGCTTCTTCTCCCCAGCAGCTCCACCTGCGCCTCCGTCTCCTCGTCCAACCCCTCCTCGTCCTGCGCCACCACCACCGCCGCCGCCGCCACCACCACCACGTCCTCCTCCATCCTTCCTCGTGCCGTGGTGGACAACGTCTTCATCGGCCTCCGAGCCCGAGGAGGAGTCGCCCTCCACGCCCAGCACGGCGAATCGCAGCTTGCTCGCCGGGATGATGCTGGACATGATGAGCCTCAGTTGAGGGCAAACGTGACCTCTAATGAAAGGGGCTTCTCCTTAGATGCGAGAGACTACGCTTTTTAAAAGAAAAAAAAAACCTCCTTAAGGTTTAACGCTAGGTTTTGCACGACGTCTTCCTTTGGTTGACACGACCTAAGTCTCCCTTAGGGTTCAACTCGACTCTACCTTAAACCACACTTTGTTGCGACACGACTCCACTTAAGCCTCGTCGGGGTTTAACGACACTAAACCTCCCTTAAGACACAGTCCTATACCTCGCCTAGATTTAACCCTACAGCATCAAATCCTCGCGGAGATCTCACAACGTCGCTAACTAAACCTCCTCCCCCCCCCCTGGGACGTATAACACCTGGTGCGAAGTCTCCCCGCTTGGTTTAACAGTCCTAGACCTCGCCCGCCGGCCTCTTAACTGCGACCCCGACACCTCGGCCGACGTCGACCAGACACAGCAACACGAAAGCCACACAAAACCACCACCGCAAACTTACCACCAACTGGACCAACAAACCCCACGGCCGCTTGCAATGCGTTTCTAGTCTAGCGTTCCCCTTTTTTGCTGGCGGACACGGAGGGCACTCGGCCCCTGTAGACTACGAGACAGCCAGTGGAGTGTGGGGAGGGGGGGGGGCGATTGTCGACACTGGGCCCCCCGTTTTAGGGTCCTCCACACGGCTGCAAGCGCGGAGCGAGGCGGTGACTGCGGAGTTGGGAGCGCGTTGGCGTGGAGGAGCGCTGTGCCGACGGGATGGCAGAGGGGGGGGCCGTGTCACTGAACACTAAAGCAAGGCGACCCTACCACTACAACCGCCTACAACACAAACAACAACAACAACCGCCTACAACACAAACAACAACCACCCCCCACCACCACCACCACCGACAGTCGCCACAAGACGCGGCTTATCCTCGCCGATAAATGTTACTGCTGCTACTGCTGCTGTTGCGCACGGCACACCGGCAGAACAAGTGAGAACAGAAACGTTGTTTGTAATCACAACCCAAAATGTAAACAACAACAATAATAATAACGACGACAATAAGCGAGCGATGTTAGAGCGCAGAGACGGCTGAGGAGAGGACGCACGGAGTGGGACTAGCGGATGACTGGGCCCCAGGATCCGGATCCCCGGGGTCATGCGCAGCAGCGGAACCGGATCCGTGGCTCGTGACGGGAGCAGGGAGGCGTGGTCACTCCACCGCTGGATGGGTGAGAACCCCCCCACTCACCATGGTCACTCCACCGCTGGATGGGTGAGGACCCCCCAGCCACCTTGGTCACTCCACTGCTGGATGAGTGAGGACCCCCAGCGCCACCTTGGTCACTCCACCGCTGGATGGGTGAGGACCCCCCAGCCACCTTGGTCACTCCACCGCTGGATGGGTGAGGACCCCCCCACTCACCATGGTCACTCCACCGCTGGATGGGTGAGGACCCCCCCACTCACCTTGGTCACTCCACTGCTGGATAGGTGAGGACCCCCCACTCACCATGGTCACTCCACCGCTGGATGGGTGAGGACCCCCCACTCACCATGGTCACTCCACTGCTGGATGGGTGAGGACCCCCCACTCATCATGGTCACTCCACCGCTGGATGGGTGAGGACCCCCCACTCACCATGGTCACTCCACTGCTGGATGGGTGAGGACCCCCCACTCACCATGGTCACTCCACCGCTGGATGGGTGAGGACCCCCCACTCATCATGGTCACTCCACCGCTAGATGGGTGAGGACCCCCCAGCCACCTTGGTCACTCCACTGCTGGATGGGTGAGGACCCCCCCAGCCACCGTGGTCACTCCACCGCTGGATGAGTGAGGACCCCCCAGCCACCTTGGTCACTCCACCGCTGGATGGGTGAGGACCCATGAGCTCTACGGTAATCGTATCGGCATATCGTGATTCAAGTTGATACACTTTTTTCATGTTATTTCCAGACAAACTATATACGCAATAACCAACCACGATTATTCACCACGTTATTTGACGATGCTGCGTTGACAGGGGTGCACAAAACACGAATAACAACAACTGAACGTAAAAATGTGCTGTGAAAAAGGGCCGTCCCCCGAAACGTCGAACTATTATATAATTTTCCGTTTAAGGCCACAGTCCTGTTGACGAATGTGTTGCATTTCGTAAATGGTCAAACTTCTACACGGCTACTGCCCTACTTGTACGCTAGCACTTTGCAAAATCATTTCGTTGATGTCACAATCAATGTCCTGCTATCTGTGGGACCTTTTTGCCAGTATCAAAAGTATAAAAAAAACTAAGAATAAGTTTGACCCTTTCTGGAAAATAAGAACAAAACAGGTGTCGAAGATGTTCAAACGCCTTTTTTGCGAGGCATCAAGTCTGCATTAACCACACACAGTGTTTGTGTCAAAGCATGCAAACAAACATGCTCTGATAGAAAGAACCAAAAAGTAATTCCTGCAGTCACGAAAGCTCAAAATCAAGTCTGAAAGCTCCAAATCAAGCATGCTCTGATAAAATACGCGTTGTCTTTGAAACTGATTGACTGTTTGAACATCAAACACCAAATAGATGGGTTTTGATTGACTGTTTGAACATCTTGGATTATTGCCATAAAGGGTAAAAAAAATACTTGTTCGTATTCTTTCATACATTGTGATACTCACCGTGATGTACCTGTTTCATTATTTGGCGTGCAACTGACGGCATGTGCGTTACATTTATATAACGCTAACAGCACTTGCTCCAACAGTCTATTCAAGGTATACGGGGGGCCTTTGTCGTTTTTTACGTGTTGTATAACGATTTCCTGAGCGTGGATTTCCTGAGTTCAACGATATGGCTGATCTGATAATATTCGGAGGGGGTAAATTGTGCGGTCACCTCGGAACAACTTTGAACGCTGCTGCAATGATGCACTCCCGGAAGGATGGTCGTGATGGGATGCGTCAGGAAATTCTTAATTTTTTGTGTGTGTGTGGAGAGACGAACCTGTGAACGAGACGCTGTCTGCTCATCGATCGCGTTAAAAACTGAGGGTATTTGATTAGATGTTTCACTGCGTTAGTCACTACACGAGTATAGACCAGGGGTGGACACATTTTTTGACTCGCGGGCCACAATCGGTTCTAAAATTTGACAGAGGGGCCGGGCCAGGAACAGATGGATGGAGTGTTTGTGTGAACTAATATATATGACATGTAAAAATCATTACTTGAAAGGATTTGGCCTTTAACAGGTAGCAAAGCATTTATTTGCAAGGCAATTTAACAAATTGCACGAACATGAACAATACAAAAACATGTCGTAACTCCCGGTCAAAGTGCGCCATCTAATGGGGAAATGGGGGCATTACAGGAGAAAGGTAAAATTTAATGTAATAATATTTGGACAAGTTCGGCGGCCCGGATTAAGCTCAATGGGCCGTATACGGCCCGGGGGCCGTACTTTGCCCATGTCTGGTATAGACTAACACTTTAACACGTCGGCATGTTTCGTTTACGTGACGAACATTACTAATTGGCTGCGTCGGGTGGTGGCGGGTTTCACGACACGTTTATATTTTCGCGATGTAACCCCCCCCCCAAAACCCCCTCTATTATGGATAGACTAACACCTCGTGCTCACAACACAAGACTCATCACTCCTCGTCACAATACTCACACGTATCCCTCTGCCCATGAGAGAGAGAGAGAGAAAACAAATCCCTGTCAATTGATATTTCCCGACAAAAAAACATCACACAGCACAGATTGTAAAAATTTTAATATTGAATGTAGACATTGCCGCTTATTATTATTCCAGCAGTCACTTCCAAAAAGGCTTCACAATTTTCCAGTATTTGGTCCAATATTACACATTTAAAGCAATTCTCACTGCGATGCAATTTCACAAATTGCATCCACTAATTGTGCCATCAATTATACCCCAAGTAGGCAATTTTTGCCAATTACAGGCTAATTGTTCTGTCATCATCTAAGAAAACATCGCGTAATCTACTCGAGATCTCCCCTGCAGATAGCCCAGTCGCATCCCGTCCGTGTGCAGTGACCCAGACGCGTGACTTGACGGGGTGTGTGATGGTCATCCTACAAGCACCTTTCCCTCCACGGCTACCGAATTGCGCTGCCGCTGTGCTTAAAAACAAGCGAAGTCACCGGGTTTCTTCTTCTCCTCCGTCCAATTTACTAACACAGTTACACCACTTGGATATAAAGTGTATGCCACGAGCGCAGTCGTAACGTTTAGATGTGGAGAATGCCAATCACGCGGAATGAATAAGCCCATGCCTCTTCACATAATAATAATGATGCTGCTGCTGCTGTTGCTTTTATGCACAACTCATTGGAACGAAACAGACCTCCCAGAGGGTCCACCTCGTCAGCTGCAGCGTTCACTCAACGCGAGCAAACTCTGCTCCAGTTGTCGACGTTCAGTTGCTCGTCAGCAGAGTGAGGCTTTTCGTTCGGAACAACGGCTGGTGGACGTCGCAGGCGGCTTTACGGGTAAGGACCCCTCGCTCGTGAGAGAGATTTGACTGGAGCTCGAAGACAAAGCCCTACGGGATACGCAACACCGATCGTTCAGCATCGCTGCGGAGAATGCGAATTACTCGAGAAATCCCACCCCCTTTTCACTTGAGTCTCTCCGCATGAAATACCATTGCAGGAAGGATTTAAAACCTTGAAGAAAGTGCGAGTTATTTTTTTCTAATTACCACACGAGACCTTTCATTTTATTTATTTTACCAGGTAAGGCCCGTTGAGCTTTGTGGGTTTTTTTTCATTCAGAAGCGACCTGGCCACCAATGATAGCTCAAACGAAGTGGCTTAACGTCGTGTTGGAATTCTATGGCAGCCAAATTCTCAAAACCTCAGTTTAACACGTCGGCTTTCGCGACCAATATCATCCACGTTATCTTAATGTGGTGGCTAAACGCCTGGCCTGCGGAACTGCGTGGTGTATTTACCCATGTGTGATGAGTGGAGACGCTCGGAGGAAGATACAAGCAGGAAGACAAGAAAGAACGATGCCTAGGAGCCATCGTTGTGGAAGTCGTTAGAGTAGGGTTCCTTATTGTGTAAACTTTAAATAAAAGTGGCTCTTCTCATTACTTTGTCGTCTGAGTGGTTACACATGTATACCGTTGGGTGGATTGTTGTTGTTGTATTATTATTATTAAAGAAACTCGCTCGATTGTTTCATCTGCCGCGCCGGAAGATGGCATCGAACCGGACGATTCTCTGGATCTATTAGTCCAGCGCGCAGCCGACCCAGAAACACCGCGGCAGATCAACTCTCTGGCCGGTCGCAAGCAAAGGAGTTTCTTTTCAGCTAATTCGAGCACTTTATCCGCAGCGGAGTTTAAATGCCCGCCTCTCACATGGCTAAATGAAGAATGAGAGGAGAGGAAGGAACGAAATCCCTCTCCCCCCCCACCACCACCGCCTTCAACGAAGGAATCACTCAGAACTTGATGGCATTGCTTCTCCAAACTGAATTCACACCCGGACACGGGAGGACTGCCGATGTCATGGGACATTGCAGAGAAAGGGCATTTTTATGCATCGCTCTGTCCCAATAGTTATTGCAGCCAAAATGTTCGCAACAATTCGTTGCGTGCGTGTGGAGAGAGAACACTGTGGGGAGCCGTGACGACCCGAGTTCAATTACCGCTCACGGCCAAGATCAGCGGCGATTATCTGTGACGGTCCTGGGCCTCCCCTGGGTCGACTCAGCCTCAAATTAGTACAAGGTGCGGTGTGTAAATATGACCACTGGGGAGACAAAGGCGGCCGGGTGCGTGGGGATGACCACCCACCCCTTCGTGTGCCGTCTTGTCCTTGATAGGTGCTCGTTAACAGCACTTGCCTCAAAAAAAATCTGTTAAGGCTACACGGGGGATATTTTTCTTTGGAGAGAAAATGTAAGGTAGTGAATGACTAGACGACGGAGAAGCACTTCCATGAGATTTAATTAAATCGTCCGCAAAACTCAATGGCAACTTCTCCGTTGGGCCCCGGTTTAAAGGCCTATTCTTGTTGCCAACGACAGACAAACTTTCCTGTAAAGACAACACACACAGAGAGAGAGAGAGAGCACGTGTTATTGAATGTTTTAAAAGGATGCCAAAGCGGTTGAGCAACGAGGCCAACGGTGAATACTGACCGACACTCGTGAACAATGCGTGCAACGACCTCACCCAACGCGCGCCATGCAGTCAACCGATGAATTGTCCCGATCCTTGGTTCTGGTTCGATTAAACTATATAACTTTTTTTGCGTCGTCTTATTTATTATAAGGCTTCTTGCTTTCACCCCCCCCCCCCCCCCCCCAGTATTGTGTCTGCAGTTTTGTTTAGCCTTAGTGTAACATCGGCACAGCGCTCGCTCATCGCGCGCACGAACAAACACGCTCACGAGTTTCTCTCGCTTTGTATGGTAGTGGATGCGTAAAAAAAAAATAGGGTGGGGGGGGGGATGCACAAAGCGAACCGCACGAGACAGCTGCCTGCCGAGTATAGCGCACACAGTACTATGTATGATGGACACAAATTTAACAATCATTGGAAGGATGTTATTAACCAGGTAATGCCTGAACTGGTTGTGGTTGTTTCCATCGTACCTACCGGTGGTTTACGAGTAAACATTCCCCCCCCCTCCCCCCGTGTCCCACACTCAGCTTCCCACTTCTAGCCCTGCCCACTCCCCCCCCCCCTCTCACGCAGCCCCCCCCCTCTCTCTCCCCCCTTGCTTCACCCTTTTCTTGCTGTGGTTGTTCCACCTGATGAAGATTGCCTGTGTTGCGATCGAAACGTCGTGATTTGTTTTTACATTTTATTTCTACCTACGTGACTTTACCGAAAGAACCAAAGAGTAGTACTATGTATGTTGAACTTCTTTCGCACCGTACGTAGCCAACCGTGCCAATCGGAGGTGCGGGGGAAGGACAAACTAAATTAAACACGAAAGTTGTCCCACGTCCGACCGCATAGCTGCAGATCGGCTGATTTCAAACCGCATAACCGTACCGACATAAAGCGTGAGAAACCTGTACACACTATGCGACCCGAGTTCATTCCCCCAGCCACGGACAACATCAGTGGCAAGCAGTACCTGAACCTATCCTGACCAAATCCTGGGCCTCCCCTCAGTCGACTCAGCCTCAACTGAGTACCTGGTTTGCGGTGGGTAAACATCAGCACTGGGGAAGACAAAGGCGGTCGGGGCGTGGTTCCTGCCAAACCTGTACGGTATCCCGAAGTCACCAAAACTCGCTGCTGCAACGTCGACCTCTGGGCAGCAAAGCAATTGAGGTCAGGACGAACTTCAAAGGTCGACTGCGTGAGGTCTGAACACTGCCGCTGTGCTGACTTGCGAGCGGAGTGTTCAGAACTCATGAATGAGACCACGCCGCGTGCACAACAGCACTCGGTGGCGGGGGGGGGGACGGCTGTGGATGATTTTCTTTTCTGGAAGATTTGCTGGTTTATCCCAGGATGTTTCTGTTGCGTGTCGTCGCTTTAAGATGTTTCTCTGTTCACATTTTGTTTGTTGCGGTTGCACCCGACTCATGAGCCGCATGGCTCACAGGGCTATACCAAGTAAATGAAAGTTGAGCTGCGTTGCGTTCCAGGCTTCCCCTCCCACCCCTCCACGCTGGAGCCCTGCCCGCACTCTCCGCGACGCGCCGACGACGACGACGACGACGTCACCGCCGCGTTCCTGTGACGTGGTGGTGACGCGCCAACTGCGTCACAAATCAAACAACACGTGGCCGAGTCCTTGCACACACGATGCCTCTCTCTCTCTCTCTCACTCCTACGGTGATGGTGAGTTTGACGCAAAGCCTCGCTTAAACTCGTTTGCTGTGGCTCCGCATGTCTCGTTAAATGTACGCATTACGTTTAGCACTCCCAGTGTATTTAAATAATCAAGGAAAAGCAATGCTTTCTCGTATCAACAATGCGACCTGCAATTACTTTCAAATATAATGATTGGCATTACACGCACCATAGCTTATTTTACATTTCTTATTTTATATTAAGGGAATTTATGGAGCAGAATTAACAATAGTACGGATGAATGTGATGGTGGAGACGAGGTGAATGAAACAGATGAGAGGAAGCAATGGGGGGCAAATCTGTGATGCGTGAATTCGGTGAAGGTGAAATTATTGACAGTAAATGATGATGATGATGATCAGATTGAACAGATGTATTGTACACGTTACTCCCATTGATATTATTTAACACTGGAAACAATGCAAGTCAAACGATTAGCTGGGTGGAGTGACTGGGAAATCACGTCTATAAAATGTCTCTGTTGTTGTTGTTCTATGAGCCCGCTGTACACTCTCTTCCGTTGGGACTTCCTTGCTCACGTTGTATCACAAAAACACGATCTTTTTCTCTCCCACACACGCTAATAAATCATGTTGCCACGAAAGGTTACACACTGGAACAATTGCACGCACTCGCACATTCGGACAAATAAAGGTACGCACATTTACACTCGCGTGTTACTTTAATAAACATCGATGCTATAAATATACATTATTCAGCTGCAGACCAGCTGAAGCACATGAGCGATGACGTCACGGCGGCCATGTTGCATGGGAACTTTACGACGGCCATGTTGCATGGGGGTGGGGGGGGTGTCTTCCTGGCAGCTGATTGGCTGGTGCAGTGGGAGCGCTGACATAATCCCTAGCAACCACTGCCGCGTGCCCAGCGTTGTGGTCTCGGGGCGCTTGTCTTAATCATGGATGGCTGAAACCTGAATCGAACCCAAGAATTCTCAAACTGGGCCCAAATGCGACCGGCAACTTCAAGCTCATCCAACCTCGTGGCCACAGAAAGCATAACATTCGCAAATGGCCCAGAAACAATTTTTGTATCTGTTACCGCCACCATCTCAGTCGTACTAATTAGGTAATGGAGGGGGGTTATTTTTCACTTGGCAAACGCTTTATTTCTACAGTTATCATGTTCAGTAAAGGTGCATCCTAACAATTTTTCGTCCTATTGTCATGACAGGCTGGTTTTATTAGACAACGTCAAGATGTGTTACGGCGTGTTGATGTGTGGTTACGGGCTCGTGGGTATCTGTCCTGCGGTGAGGAAAGAGGCTCTCCCTTCCCCGTGATCTTGACATACCAGAGGTACCTTTGTGTATCTGACATCACCACGGTGGTGCCCCTCCGCAGCCGGAGTCCGCATTGGCCACGCCGCGGCTGATGGAAGGAGCACCGCTCCATGCGGAACACTGTGATTTGTTGCCTGCTTTAGCGATACAACAACACAATCACAAGTCTTCCACATGGCCCACAGCTCCGCCTTCTTTCCACCCGTGATCGCCAGTTTCGTCACCTCGCTCCAGTGGGTCGAAGATCTTTCCCTGTTGTTCCGGGGGGTCCAATAAAGGAAGTTATTACGGGGTCGCCCATAAATGATGTCACGCGATTTTGGACGATTTTTGACCCCTCCCCCTCGTCACACGGCGTCACAAGAAGTCAGACCCCCCCCCCTCAAATATGACGTCACAAAGCTCTGCCCCCCCCCCCCCAAAAAAAATATATAAAACATGCTTTAAATCGCTTTAAACTATTGTCATTGTAGTGCATATTTCATGTGGCGCTGCACTCTGATGTTGTAGGAGAAAAATATTTATTAAAGAGTCTATTTAATTAAGTAGAACGTGTTGTCTACATTTAATTAAAGTTGCGCATTTTGATGTGACGTCACATTTCTCAAACCCCCCCCCCTCGTCACACATCGTCACAAATGTCTGACCCCCCCCCCCCCCAGGTGCGTGACGTCATTTATGGACGGCCCCTAACTGCTCTTACCGTATTGACTTCCGAGACGTCTGCCCGGCGTGCAAGAGTAGGCCACAATTACCCTCGAAATGGGGGCTTGTAGAGCTGCATCTAGTGCAGGCCCTATCGCCAGCAGTCGCGAAAACAGGCAATTGCAGGGCTGCGCTTTAGCACGTATACCGTATTCTCCGGATTATAAACCGCACACTTCCCCCCCCCCTCTCCACCCCACAATATTTTTGAGTAAACGTCGGCGTTGTCTTTTATCGCCCAGTGTTGGTATGTGTGTGACCGATTTGTATCGCGTAGTTTCTTGGCACCAAGGGGCGCCGCAGTGGCGAGATGTTAACTACCTCGCCTGGTATGCATGAGGTCGTGGGCTCGATCCCGAGGAACGTCGTCGTACGTTGATGTTAAATTCGGTCGTGCAAAATCTTCAGCTACCCTGTGAGCTGTAGTTGTATCGGCCAGAATTTTATCAACACATTGGCAATGTATACATACTGCAGCAATGTATTTGTGCACGTGACAAGCCCGTGATGTGGTGGAGGGGTTAACGACAAAAAGTTTGGCATAAAATCACTACCAAATGTCCCTTTCCCTAACACGTGAATAGACAGTTGTTCTTGCTGAAGAAACATACGCTGTAATTTTCACAATTGACAACCTTTGTTTTAATTTTCGCCGACGCAGCGACTTCCCAACAGTGCCGTATCCTCTTGATTATAAAGACAGCCACATGTTTTCCCCCAACTCTCTAGATATATTGTCTTTCTCTACGTTTTACCTCCTCGTGTCCGGCTTGCATGGGATATCATATTTCTCAAATCGTTTTTTTTATATTTCTCAAAACGACCGCAACGTTCTGAGTGCGTCTTAATTTCCGAGTCGTGGCTGTTATCCAGAGAATACGGTAATTCAGTTCTCAAACTGACTTTATGCCCCGTTTCCATTAAAAATTAAATAACTTTCACTTTCACGCTATCGTTTGTCTTCAAGATCTTGCAATGGCGAAACCTGACGCTTGCTTTACCATAGCTATTATTTCTCATAAACATTTAGCATTGATTTTCTCGCATGATTTTCCTTACTACCCTAAAAATCCTTCCTGCAAATACACATCCATCACTTTCTGTAACTCATGAGACAACCCATCAAGATAGGAGGATGCCAAAGGTTGTAAAAAAATACAAATAAAACAACAGGCGAAGGTGTGCTGCTCACAAGACGCAAAATATCACGATT